TGGTGTGTGTGTGTGTGTGTGTGTGTGTGGTGTGTGTGTGTGAGTGTGTGTGTGTGTGTGTGTGTGGTGTGTTGTGTGAGTGTGTGTTGTGGTGTGTTGTGGTGTGTTGTGGTGTGTTGTGGTGTGTTGTGGTGTGTTGTGGTGTGTTGTGGTGTGTTGTGGTGTGTTGTGGTGTGTGTGTGTTGTGGTGTGTGTGTGTGTTGTGGTGTGTGTGTGTGTGTGTTGTGGTGTGTGTGTGTGTGTGTTGTGGTGTGTGTGTGTGTGTGTGTGTGTGTGTGTGTGTGTGTGTGTGTGTGTGTGTGTGTGTGTTTGTGTGTTGGTGTGTGTGTGTGTGTGTGTGTGTGTGTGTGTGTGTGTGTGTGTGTGTGTGTGTGTGTGTGTGTGTGTGTGTGTGTGTGTGTGTGTGTGTGTGTGTGTGTGTGTGTGTGTGTGTGTGTGTGTGTGTGTGTGTGTGTGTGTGTGTGTGTGTGTGTGTGTGTGTGTGTGTGTGTGTGTGTGTGTGTGTGTGTGTGTGTGTGTGTGTGTGTGTGTGTGTGTGTGTGTGTGTGTGTGTGTGTGTGTGTGTGTGTGTGTGTGTGTGTGTGTGTGTGTGTGTGTGTGTGTGTGTGTGTGTGTGTGTGTGTGTGTGTGTGTGTGTGTGTGCGTGCGTGTGCGTGTGCGTGTGCGTGTGCGTGTGCGTGTGCGTGTGTGTGTGACCTGTCTGGACAAACTACTATTTTTCACAATCTTCAAGGAAATCGCTCGCTTTACCAGTAGGGGTCGTTACAATTGCGCCGACCTGTCCAGCTTCCATTGAGAAGCGGCGGTGCATGCCCTTCTCGGGACATTTGGGTGTGTCTTGTTTGGGGGTGTCCCCTTTTCGGCGAAGAAGAAAACTCAGAGCTTTGGGCTTGGGGATCCCCTTCAAGACATACCCAGTTCAAAAGAAGGCGCGCTCAGCATCCAATTCGTGTGCCGAGCCTATCGAAATCTCCCCAATCACTGCATGAAGTGTCCCATGGCCGTTGCAAATGTCAGGAAATATCATGGAGCAACTACCTTTTGGAATGGCCTGGGCCACTCGAGACGGGCCATCGATTTCTGACGGCCAAGTGCCAGGTTAACCTAGTGGAGTGGGGCGAATGCATGACAAAAGGCCCCGTGCTTGGCCCCGCAGTTGCTGCAAAAACCCGAATGCAGCTCCCAGGAGACCGCAATGCAAGCCACGACCTCCAGGTGTAGGCCGACCAACGGCAAGTCGCTCGGTACCAGCGATTTGAGGCGGGCCCCAAACCAATGCTATGGCATGGGAAAGCCGATTCATCACAAGTAAATCAGGTCTAGTACCGAACGGACACCAAAAGTCGGGAACGGTCTTTCAACTCAATTCATCTCAGCGCCCAAAACGCATCGACATTTGGTTCTAGCGGCATGGTTTGTAAAGCCTAGCTGCCCATGAAACCAGCTAGAACCGCCCATGACCAACAGTCGCGGAGGTTTTGTCTGCGCTGCTCTCAGACGAATTGGTGGAAGCTGTGCGCAGAGAGATTGCCTGGCGGCACGGCCACCGGTAAAAAGCCCCTGCTGTGCTGGTCACGTGGACCTAGTGTTCTTCAGGCACAAATCGGAACGCAAAACAATCTTGGGATCCATCTAGATCTCTTCGCTCCGATGACGTTGAATGATCCTGAAAAAGGGGGTCTTAGCCTGTCAGCGTATCAGACGACCTAGCTGGGTCATCCACTCCCATTCTAGGTGGGTGTTTCCCAAAATAGGGGGTCCCCTCAAACAATTGGTTCCGCACAATAACGAAAAGAGTCCATATTGAGAAACTCCCAGGCGCTGGGCCTACGCAATCAGCTCATGCCCCGTGGCAGACTCGAAGCAGGTCTTATACTCCTAGCGAAGCACCGAAGCCCGATGCGGTCGTGCAAGCTGTGGAGGGGGCAAGAAAGTTTGGCGCACCTTGCACAGAACATGCATGCAAGAGTCAAGAGCCCGGTATTTCGTTTGTTGGAGGTGGCTGGCTCCTCTTTCTTCTTCCTTTATTTTGTTTTGAAACCTGCGGGGGGGAAGGAGGGGGGGTATGGAGGGGCCAAAGGGACACCTGCAAAAAGGGGGGAGGGGGGAGATTGGGGGCCAAAGGGACACCTGCAAAACAAAAGAAGCCTGCGCCGTGTCTCCCACCTCGCCAAATCATCATCCCGAAGATGTAGGCGGCAGTTCTTTACCAGGGCTGGCAACTTTCCTTTTTCTGGAAAGCATCCAAGTACGATGCACCACAGAAGCAGCTGATAGATCATCTCATTGGTGGTTGAAAGATGACTGGCTCTGGGAACTGGGAGGAACTCCAGCAACGGGTGGGAGAACAAAGGCTGGTTGAAAATGATTCTGCGGGCAAAAGAAGACTTTGTGGAACTTGACGAGTCGTTTCTGATCAGCACTTTTCAGAAAAACTACAGGATCCTGGAGTCCAGGTGGCTCATCCATCGCTATTTGAGGCACGGTCAAAACTGATTGTAATGGACATGGAAAACTTAGGGCTCGGCTGGTTGTTGTGGAACATGTCTTTGACTCCCCCCCTCTCCCAACCCAAAGTCGATCGCACATTGTCCCATGGACCAAAAACTGGTGCCTTTCCTCGCCTTGCCTGCCTTCCCCACCCACCGCCACAACATCCACCCACCATCAACCAAGCATAGTCCACCACCCAAGTTAAATACCTGAAAATTGTGAAGGCATGTATGTCTTAAGCTGGCGCGTCTTGGAGGGGCTCCAGACATGTTTGGGCGCTGGATTTGTCTCAACACCACCCCTTCTTACTTTCGATGTGGGCCTATGATAAAATGAGGGCCCCCTGCTTGAGTTTAGTTTTTGAGCCGAGTCAGGGACCAGCCTCGACTTCCGGAGGTAGTCCAAGCTTTGCTCTACATGACTGCCCCTCCTGGTTCCCTCACCAACCCCGACAAAACCACGGGGTGTCCTAGGGATGCCGAAACGGGTCACGGTTCCTTCCCAACTGACCAGCAAGAAAGGGGGCGCCTTGTTCCGAGCCCCAGGCACCAAATTGCTACCGGTCTTTGCAGTGACCCCTCGGGTTTGGTTTTGCAGAGGGTGTATCCTAAAACAAAGGCAAGCACGGTTGGTGTCCTTGCTTGGTCCCTTTGAAACTACCTGAAGCGCATTTGACGGGTTGGTCTGAAGTAGTAGGGGCTCCAGACGAGTAACACAAACAAATGTTCTGGGGATGAGCACATTGTCAGTTGCATTTGTTTGGAGGGATGCAGCATCCCTCCAAACAAATACAACTGACAGGTGCCCACCCCACCTGTAATATGTTTCCCTGTGCTGCCTGTGCTTTGAAGGGCTCATTCCCTGCGAGCCAGCAACTTTCGGACATCCGCCGTCTCCTGGGGGGTCTTGAAAGGGTGGAAGGCCACCGAGCTTGGGTCCTTGCAGTTCCGCCAGCCTCGGATGCTCAGACGGAGACGAGTTTTCCCGTTCCGCTTCGCGTGTGCTCGTTTTGGGGGTTGGGGGAGAGGGTCTGGGGTGGGGTGGGGAGGGGCCCTCGAGCGGAACAACGGAACCCGGAGCCAAGAAACGGAGCCAAGAACTGTGCCCTTCTTGACTTCTCTAAGGCAAAGGTCCTGGAAGGGTTCCAAATGATGTCTAAATGCGTCAGCCCGATGTGTGACAAGTCCAACCAAATGAACTCCTAGTGCTGAAATCCAATCAGCTCGCATCATGAACTCTCACTTTCATTTGCTCACGAACCCCTTGGAAAACGGGGGAGTGGGCCTCTGTGGTCCTGCCACGTGCCCGCAGACCAAGCCTGGGCCAACTGCCAGCCCCATGGCTTACACTCACCTGGTTCCCAGCCCAGGTGTTCCATGTGTCCAAAGCCCGTTGTCTATTGCCGATGGATCACAAAGCCCCAAAATGGGACAGCAAAGCCTGTGACCTGAGGCCTCAAGTTATCCGCTGGCCTTGGCCCAGAAAAAAGTGGGTCGCCCGAAAATCAGTCCACCCAAGCGGCCAAGTCAAGTGGGACACCGCAACCAAACTCAAGCACTAGGTTTGGCTCCCCACCACCCCCACCCCAAGGTCTGAGTGGGGGACATGCTAGACTCCCAAATCAATTTGGTTTCCCAGATACATCCAAACATCATGTGCGACATGGCCAAAGCTACTTTCAGCCCTACAACTTCAATCCCCCCCCCCCCCCCAAAAAAAAAAACGACCCACCAAGCCCCCAAGCCAGACTGGGGATGGCAGTGCTCCTCCGTCAACAGCCGGGGGTCGTAGACTCGAGCCACCTCCACGCAGTCAAGCGAGTCAAGCAAGTCCCCCCCTGAGACAAGTGGGTGTGGGTCAAACTTAAAACCACCAGGGGACCGCAGATTTTGGTCCATGTTTCCACTTACCAGGGTTCCATTTCGGGTATCTATGTTTGACCCACAGCCAAGCGCCTTGGGAGTCTTCCATCGAGAACCCCGCCCGTCAACTGACACCGAACACTGCCAAGCCAAAAAACGGAGAAATCAGCCCCCCCTGACTCGGTGAAGGTAAACCACGCCCCACTTCGCTAGTGCTTGGGCTGGAGCTAAAACCGAGGCCCGAGTCAAGATGCTTGACAGCGGCACTTACTTTCTTGGCCACGGATCACTCAATGTGGTTAATTTCAAAGGAAACAGATGCAAGGATCCCCTGCAAATCCAACACCACTGGAACAGTGGTACATGTGCGCCATCAGCATCTGGCCAAGCCAGCATTATCCAGATCTGATCTGGCAATTCGGCCTGTGCTATGGACAAGCCGCTTCATTTCAAGGCGCAAACCGTGCAAACCGAACACCCGCGTACATTGCCAGCACTCAAGCCAGCCCAGACGTGCGGATGACCCGAGCTCTCCCAGGCGCCTGGCTTCCTCCAGCTCGGGAGGATTTGCCGATGAAACGACCTATTCCGGAAAACCTAGCAGAAACAAGGAATCCCCCAAGTGCGGGTTGTTTTTTTATTTATTGGTGAGCTTGTGTTGCCCCCCGTCACGGTGAGCTCGCAAGAACTTGTATTGATGGGTTCAATTCCCTCTGTCCATTCCAAAGCAAAGTAACTGGCTCATCCGGATGCCTGGATACTTGTGAATCCTGATGCTCCCTTCTAAGATCTACCGTCACCCGGGTCAAACCGGCTTTACACCCTTCATGTGGCTATATAGTGGCTGTATGTGTATATATATGTATATATATGTGCATATATTATGTGTATGTATATATATATATACATATCCCGTAGTTTCAAGGTATATAGTGTTAAGCAGGATCAATCCGGAGAACCCTACGTAGTCAGAGGACACCCTAAAACTGGTCAGTTGCTTACAAGGAGAACCGCCCCACTCGCCTCGGTGAAGCGCATGAGGCATTGGTCTACCCAAATATCCTGCAGCAGATCAGGCGGAGTTTCTTTCAAGCCGCTTGGGTCTGGGAGCTGAAAGCTGAAGGAGGGGCTGGGAAAATCGGGGTCAGGTGTGAGTCAGTTGTCTGCAGAATGCTCCAAGTTGTAGCTGCAACCTTGCTTTCGACGCCCGGAGGACCTCCAATCTTGGTTGGATTGACCTGATTCTGCTTGCTGACTTGGACCTTGTCACTGCTTGGCTGTCTCCCCACTTGTCTCCCCTCCAGCAGCAGGGATCTGCACCCAAAGACAGAACCATCCAGGCGGGCCCGCGAGCCATTAAACTCGGTTGGCAAACCGTCTGCAAGCCTGGATTGGTCTTGAACCCTGCATAACAGTTTCGGCTGTTGGGGGAACAGTTGTTGACTAAGAAGCTAAAGGGCTAAAGGTGAATCATTCGCGGATCGCCCTCGATGGGCAATTCACGGCCCGCTGCGGCCTAGCAAATCAGCCCTACAAGTCGCATGTGGAGTCTGTCCTCAGAAGAACAAATGAGCCCAAATGAGATCCCCAACAGCCCGTGACAACCCGAACACACCTGCAGCTCCAAATCACAAGCATATCCGGGCAGAGCCCCCAATGCTTTCAGCTGTTGGGGACCAAAAGGAAATCATTTCGGGGGACCCCTAGCTTGAGAAGCCCGAAGCTTCAGCCACAAGCCGAGGTTCAGGTTCGTACAGCTCTTACTTGCGCTTCGTAAAGCTCTCTTGAGTGGCCCAAAGAAGACCCGACGTTTGGCTTCCCACTTGCAAGGAGGGCTTCAAAAGGCGGCCTGCAGGCTGCAGGGTCCATGAAGGGCATCCGAGCAAAAGACTTGTCCAGGTCAAAACGTCAAAGGGTTGGCAGGTGCCTGAACCATTTCTGCAGGGATAAATGAGAGGAACAGTTGGAAGGCAAAACCGGGGAAGTGGCCCCAACTTCTTGTTGGAGCGCCAACATAGGTAGTCTTCCGTTCCGCGCCTCTCCCCACCACAGCGTGCAGGGCCCATTGCATCGCTCGCGGTAGTTGGGGTCCCAGAACGCTGAGCAGTCCTGGCAAAGCCGGTAATACGTGTTTTGGGCTGGGGGGGGCAGGGTAGTGTGCCTGACAAACCGAGCCCATGTTGCCTCAATACATGCTGCCCGCCTTGTTCCTGTGTCGGGGCAGTTCTGAAATTGGGAACTCCCAGATGGTTCTTGACATAAAACCGGGCAAATCCAAGGCAATCCCAAGAGCCAAGCCACGCACTGTCCCTGTCACAAAGAGTGGCCTGAGGCTTTTTTTATCCTAGTCAGCAACACCTGAAAAGGGGGCTTGGTGGCCCATTCGTAAGATGAAAAAATGGAAAGAAAAAGCAACACCGACATGGAAAGTCTTTGTTTGGCAGCCGCAAAGCGGTTGGATGAGCCACGCAAAACATGATTTGGCATTAGAAGCTTGGGTGGGGCCCTGGTTTGTAGCAAAATTGGGTGGACCTCCCATGTCTCCAAACCATCAGTAGCCAATAAGTGTGTCTCGCATGTGTTACATCGAGCCAACCACACTTGAGCCATCAGACATCTGCAAAGCCTGGAGCATTCGACTGGACTTGACCAAAGGCGAGGCATTTGGAGCATTCGGCTCGCCGGACAAAAGGCACGTGCCGGCCGATCGATCGGGATCTCCTTCTTGCATTCCTTGCCCCCATCCAGCTGCCTGACGGATCCGACTCGCTGGCTCGGCAACGCGAAAGGTCCTGCTTTGGCCTGGCCCAAAAGCACCATGGTGCCTTCCCTCCCCTTGTCAGCCAGCGAAACAAGAACTCGACTCCCCAAAAGAAAAGGGAGAACATCAGCCACCATGCCGGACCGCTAAAACTCGAACCAGCATCGTAAGCGCTTGTGCCATGCTGACACATCAGGTTGACTTCGAACATTCGCCTGCCAAGACAACAACTCATTTAAGGGCGGCTCTATCACATAAAAGGTGATCAGGGTTGGGCCAAGCTGTTCAAACATGCTCGAACCTCTGAATTTCAAAGCAACCTTCTTGGCTTCCCCTGTGAAAGAGCTCTTCAAGCCAGTTTGCGCAAAACACCCAGGCCCCTTTGGCTTTGGCTTTTGTTTTGTTTGAACCCAGTCGCTTGGCGCAATACTCGGAGCTCTCGAAGAAGGTGTTCAGCGCTTGCCGGGAGAAGATCTCCAAAGGCCCGTGGAGGCCCATGTCGCAGTTATTCAAATAGGCCCCGGACCTCGAACAGCCGAGGTCGGCTTGAGGATACAGATGGGTTGGGATGGACAAGGTTTAATTTCAGGGCGTGGCAATGGTTGGAAACGGGGGGGATGGTGTTGTGCTTTTTGCAGAAAAGGGTGAATGCCAGGTGTGGTTCATATTTGTTCAGCGGGCAACATGGAATGGGGTCTAACAAATTGGGTTCTAGGATATTGATATGACACATTTACTGTCCCAGGATGCACGCTGGAACCTCATTGTTTGAACCCTAGTGTCTCTGAACAACCCGTTGCACTTGTGTTAACCTCCAATTATGGTCTAGTTGCTGGGTCCAACACGTGGGTCGAAAAACCAAGGGCCGATTGGATCAGAGGGACCGCAAAAGGGGCAACAACGACTACGATCGAAAACAAAAAACAAAAACAACAAGCACCCTGAAAAAAGAACAGTGATTCTTTGTCAAATCCAAACAACAAAAACTATTCCCCCCCTTCCCCTGCCAAAAGAAGAACAACCAGGATCTTGCTTAGCCTAAAGAAAACCAGCCGAGGTGATATCTCCGAGAGAAACCACGCAACCCTTCCGGAACCCCGGCCCAGAGCGCGCAACTCCGGAGCCCGGGCTGGGCTCATTCCATCGAAGCGGCTGGCCCAGCACCCGGCCATGCTCCTGCAGGATGGGCCGCAGCCGGTCCACCAGGAAGACCGTGTCAGGGTCCACCTGGCGTCGCTCGTCGCTCGCTTTGGCCAGGAAGATGCGGGGAGGGGGTTGGGGTGGGCGCAGGTGGGTGTTGGCTTGCTTTTGCCGCGACTTCCAGAAAGAATCGGTTGGTGTTTGTTTTGTGCTTTTGCTTTGTGTGTCTTCTCAACAGGAAGAAAAGAAGCTGAAAAGGGGGGTGCCCTTTGCCTTGGCTTGACCCCTTCGGACAAAAAGCCAGATGCATTCCCGGCTCTTCGTTCCCCAAAGGGAACACGGGACAAGCGAGTCGCCCGGACTCGTGGCGAGTCGCGGAAGCTTTTCCCGTTCCGATTTTTGTCCCCGAGCGAAAGGTGAGGCTTAGATCACCCAAAGCGCAAAGTATGAGCACCCCGCCGTTTGCAGCACTCAGCACTCCAAATCCCTGGACTCCAAATCCAGCGCCTTCAGGATCCAGTCGTGGTGGAGATACTCTCCGTCCGCAAGAACCTGCTTCCTCGGGGCGATGGATGGGTGACTTCCCTGCGAAAATAACACGGAACCCAAAAAGGGGGTCCCCTAAAGGCCGGCTCTTCTAAAAAAAATTAAGGGGCTTGAGGTTCCATGCCAATCTGCAGGATGGTGTTGCTTTTGGCAACTGAAAACTCAACCAACACGGAACCTAGCCGGGAGGTCCTAATTTGGACCATTCTCCAAATTCTGGGGACCTTCTGGTAGGTTCCATGTTCGTGGGTGGAAGGTGGCTAAGAACCAACATGTCAAAGGCCACATTCGGCGGAAGTGCATGAGTACCATTCAAATCTGGTCCGCCGTGGACGACACAACAAGGTTGTGCCACCCAACCAAGAGCGATTGATATCTCAGCAATATGGATTTGATTTTTGTTGCGGGACCCTTTCGGGCATCATTTTAGGCAGGGGTTCACGTCCACCAACAACTTTTGAGGTGAGGAGTGACTATGGAAATCATGAACCTTGCTTCTGAATAAGTCAAGAAACTACGTGATGGCTTTCGCTCGTTTAACCCCCAAATCTGCGGAATCGCTTGCTCTCAAAACTTAGCTGAAAGAGGAAAACAATCGTCGACCAATCTTCTGCCCTTATGATTTGTGGTCATCCTTTCGGAAGGGCTCGGAGCAACCATGTTCGCCGTGCCCTTCATACACTTCTGTTGCAAAAGCTCCACATTGTCGGAGGGCTTGGCAGTCTGCTTTGCATTTGTTCGACAATCATGGAAGCAAATCGGGTTGTGAAACATCACATTCTTTGTGATACCAACATGGGTCATTCCCAATATGCTTTCTCACCTAGGGGATTCCCTTGGTATCACAGAAAGTGAGGGGGAACAAATCCCAATGTTCCGCTAACGGACAGGTAGACTGACACCTGGCTGTCAGATAAGCACTGCATCAATGTCCAGCCACAAGGACGATGCCCTTTCGACTCGAAAAGGACCCCCAGCTTTTGGGGAGCGACCCCTACACGGGCGAACCCTATGCCAAATATAACATCTGGTCGTCATCAGACTCTCTCAAATACATGTGTTGATATTGATTCTTCCTGCATTGATCGATTTTGTTCATACTGTCGCTATCTATGCAATTGTGTGTGTGTGTGTTCTAGGTGTATTGAAATTGTCAATGTGTGATGTATGTATGATGATCATTCGTTGGTTTGTTTATTTCGCTTGGTTTGCTTATGTGCCTTATGTATTCACTAATGTATGTGTTTATGTAGTTAATTGATTTAGGTATGTGATTATCTATTCATGTGTCGCCTATGCACTTATCGATTGATTGATTCATGCTTTCATTTGCTTGGCTACTTCTGTGTTAAGATAGTTGAGGCATCTTTACGATTATCTGTGTGTGAGCTTGTTTGTGTATGCATGTGTTATCTATGGTTTTGTTTATGTATGCATCCATTGAATGATTTGAATGCATGTGTGTATTCATGCGTATGTATTGTCTTTGTTGAGTTGACTATTTAGCTTGTTAGTTGGTGTGTTAGCTACTTAGTTTATTGATTTGTCCATTTAACTATGTATTTGGGATGTATGTATCTATGTACTTATATGTTATTTGATGATTGGTGTATGTATGTGATTGTATTTTTTTGATAGATTGATGTATCTATCTACTTAGTTGTGCAGGGTTCTCTATATTTGTGTATGCATATTTGTATCTATCTAGTTTCTATCTTTGTATGCATTGATGTCTGCACTCATACGTTCACGTACCTTTGGTCGATTTGTAGATTTATTGATGTTGTTTATGTATTTGCTGATCTATGTATTGAGTTTATGTGTGTTGTTTAGTCAGTCACGTATTGCTTTGTATATCTATTTGTGCATTCATATCTTTTCTATTTGTCCATGACTGTACTTTTATTTCGCTGTGTGCTTGTTTGTTCTATTGCCTGTGGTAGTTGCTGGTTTATTGACTTGCGTATTGATTTTGTCATGTGTCTATGACTTTGTTTAGTTGCTTACCTCTTTGTGTGTTTGCTTGTTTGCCTGCTCGCTTGGGTTGCTTTATATATATATATATATGTATTTACTATTTTTTCGGTTGTGTAGATTGATTGTTTGTTTGATTGATTGCTTGGTTGCTTGCTTGCATGCGTACGTGCTTGCTTGTTTGTTTGCTTGTCTGATTGCTTCTATTTTTATTTCTTCATTAATATGCTCACATATTCATTTGTTGATGCACTTATTTGTTTGTTTGGTACCTAGATATGGTCGTATTTGATTGTCAAGTTGCTCTATTGTTTGATTTGTTCATCTATGCACATGTGTATATTGTGTATAACATGTATGTATCTATTTGTTTAACTGCCGCGGTCGACACCCGACGTCACATCATGAGCATCTAAGCGCGATTGAAAAGCCGTCCAACACATACGCATAAATCAGCCTCTTATGGCCGGCCAAATCTCAATTTAGCTTGCCCACAACACGTGTCCATACTTCCCTCTCAGACCCCAATGGTTGACGCAAATGGCGGAATTCGCTAAGCAAAGCCCAAGAGGCCCAACTCGGAACCTCCCAACGTCGCTTCGTGAAACCTCACCCCGCTAAAAAGAAGGCAAACTATGAAGACCACAAGCCAATGTTACCCGAAAAGAACATGACACAGGCCACCTGGGGGTCTGTCCCCTACAATGCTAGGCTTTATTTCGGGTTTCCCTTTGCATACCCACCAAATGGGCGGACACTTTCAGCCGTGGTTTTCGCCTTTCCGGCCCGAAGCGCCCCATTGGGACCCCCCACCAACCCCCCCCACCCCGAATCTCTCCATCCCAAGGGGCCAAACGGCCATGAACGCAGCCAAGTTCAGAACCTCGGCCATCGCTTCCGGCGATCCGGCGAGGTCTCTGTGTCTGTCAACAGATTTGGGGACCTCATGGACCTCTTGGTTTTTTGGGTGTTTGTTTGCCTTTTTCCTGGCGTTCCCTTTTTGCAGTCTAATCAAGGTGCAAAAAAATAGCCGCAACACAGACAAACGCACCTGTAGAGTGGTGCTTCGGGATCGTACCGTTATGCCGCGGTATGCCCATCTTTTCTTGGTAATATCACTATATCCTTTTGGTTTCCCCTTCAATGGGGACCAGAGGGTGGCTGCTCAAACAAAGTTATTTGACAGGGAAAAAGCCGGCTGTTGAGCAAAGCCCAGGCAAAAGTCGGGCAATGCGAGCAAAGGCCCTTCTTTCCGGAGGCAAACGGAGACGGAAAGGGGGCACCTCCCCAATCCAACCACTAAAATAGGTTCTAAAATGGGTGGTGCACCTACCCCAAAATGGTACCATTGGTTTTGACCCAAAGCCATTTCTCACCAGAAGTAGTGGGTCCCTGCGAAGAGTTCTTGCACACTCCCGGCCGATTTGAGATGCTTGTTGATGAACAGCGAAGTGAGGCTTGAGAAACTCCGGTCAAAATTGGGAAACCCCGAATGGCTCGTATGATTCCCGTTTTGCTGACCTGCTGAACTTGCCGGCAAGGAAATACTTCAACTTGTGCGGCCTGTAGACAAATAATGAGACACCTGCCTTTACTGTCCCTCAGATGGAGTACCCTGGACAATTCGACGTCTTTGCGCTCACAGCTTGGCTCAACCTGCGTGTCATCAGGACATATGGGAACAAAAATCAACAGTGGCAGCTGGGTGTCGTGAAGATAGGGGACTCGCAAAGTCCGTTTGGTTTGCCTTTAAACTCCCCCAAGAACAGCCTTGAATAACACTCCCACATGCCCACCAAGAACAGGCAAGCCAGCTGCATGCAGTAGGATGCAAACCCTGTCATTAACCTCTTGTTGGCTGAGATTGCTTCCTGTTCCAAGAAAAATCACATAACAGGCTTCCAGGCTGATTTCTACGTGATGGACAGGGTCAAAAGTACCTAACTTTGAGAATCCCCTCAAAATGTTCCCTTTAAGGGACCCAAACAAAGCACCAAGCGCTGCCCAAACAGGCAACTGCTGAGCAACAAGTGCCGTTTGACAAGCAACAGCACTTGGCACAAATGAAAAAAACGAAATCTGACAGCCAGCTTCTTCTAAGATGGAGAGCGCCACCACAAATGGTTGCTCTGCTGTTCTCCGCTTCTTCCCATGGAAGTGGCCGCTAAAACTAGAAATGGCCCCACAAATGTTGGCTTTTGTGCCTTCCTTTTTTGAAGCCAAATGAGAGCCAAATGAATCCAACAGGTGCTGGGCCCTTTGGCAAGAGCAGGCCAGCCGGAAATGGAATAACAAGGAGATGTGAAAGTGTTTGATCTCACCCAACCCAACATAAGCCCCTTCTCACCCCCCGCTCCCATGCCAACAAGCTCAGGTGATATCCCCAACAGCATGCGGTGCTCTTTTTAGTGCTCACACCACCCCACAGCCCTCGCAGAACCTCGGAACCCTGGTGGAACCCTCGTGGAACCTTACCTCAGGGCCGCCCCGGACACCCCAAAGCTTTCAGCTATTGGGGAAAAAAAACATGCCATCCCCCCCCCACTCCAAGTCCAGGCGCCGTCATGTAAGGCCCACCGAGCTCTCCCAGCAGCGTGCTGTTCACCCTCCGGGTAAACACCCCTGGCACCAGCTCCAGCAGCAAGGAGCTGTAGATGGCGTAGTTGTCGCACGCAAAAATGTGGGTGCCAAAACGGTACCTCGTTTGGACTGCGGATAGTTGGCTTCACGTAGGTTGCCCTCCAAGCAGTCGGTTTCATGTGGGCTTCCTGTTGAACTGGTTTTAAAATGAAAGCCCTATCTTTTATGGTTTCAACAGAAATAAACTGACACCCAGGGCTTGTTCCACGGAAATTGACGGATCCGCGAAGGCCCAACCCAGCGGACACTCACTTCCAGGCGAGCAGCAGGCCAGGAGTCAACAAGTCAACCAGCATCCGACAAGCAACAAATGATCGAAGCAAAACCGAGATCCCACCGCAGCTAACTATGAAAGGTAAAAGTAGCAACGATTCTCACTAGTCTCAAATCAAGTACTGTCGCCCGACGTGGAACCTGAAGGGTGGCTCCTGAAAGACCAGCTTCCTAGGACATGGTGGGTTCAATTGCAACGTTGGGCATCTGACACACGGCCAACCAAGGATATGAGCATGGAAAGCGCGGATGCACCGGGATTCGCCGGGCGAACCTAACCAGTTATTTGAATCTAGGCGCCCTAACAGAATTCAAAGGTGCCGTTGTTTTGGAACCGCATTCGTTGCCGACATCATCCATCCAAAGGAATGGAACGCTAAGTGCCACGTCAGACTACCAATCTAAACAACAGGTTAGCATCAGTTCATTCACCAAACGAAAGCAACAAGCAAGCAAGACTGGACTATGCGAGACTGGGAACAAAGCGCTCAAACAAACATCGTACACGAGGAGTGAGGAGATCACGGAAAGAGAAACATCCACAAAGCAGCAGCAAAAACAAGGCAACAAGAGCCCAAAGCTTGCTATTCCCCTTCCGAGTTGGGGTTGGGATGCCAACCCTTGGTCAAATCACACTTGATGTGTCCAATTCTGTCCCGTGCGCCAAAGCACCCTCGAACGATCCATGGGTCACTCCCTACGCTCCGCTGGATGCTTCCGAAGCTCACATCAACTATGGCGCACAGCACACTACCACAGCTTTCACCCAGATTCAAAAATCAGATGCTTGAGAACTTCGATCTGTAAAAGAAAATAGGGAGAGAGACCCCACAGCCATCAAGATAAAAGGACACAAACGTACCAGGTTGCGTGGCTGGTCCCCTTAAAAGAGATCCCAGAGCCTCGATCTCGGGTGCCCCTCCCACAGCCGAGTGGCTGCATGACGAGGAGATCCTGCTCCTCGCCGAGTTGGGTCAGATTGGTTGAAAATCCAAGGGCTGTGGGGCACGACCCAAATTACCTCATGACCCTAGGGGAATCATGCTCGTAGCTTTGCCCCTTTTTTGGACGAATTCCACTGGTTTCAGTTTGGTTCGATGTTCATCAACCAGCGGAAACCATCCACAGCATACTTCGCAAAACGTGCATTGTTCCCAAAAAACAGGTCTGAAATCTACTTTCATCGCGGAGGTGTCTTTGAACAATGCAGCACAAATCCAGCCAACAAATGTCAAGCCTCATGCTTCGAACCAAATTACTACGGCTGGCGATTTACTCGTGGAAGGAACCAGCACATTGATGCAAAACCAAGGGAAGCAGGTCGTAGTGTGGCACTCTGGGTCGGTGGCAAAAGCCGCGATTTCGGTTGTCAGCCGACTCTACTTCACAATATCTATATATCTAGAATGGGGTCAAATCAGGTCATGATGATAGGAACAACATGTTCGCGTGTAACGATGACCCTCCGGATTTCGAACCTTGCCGGTTGTCTCTCCTCCCAAAAATAGTTCGAATCCCTTCTCAAACGGCCCATGGTTCCTTCAAAAATTGATCCTCCACGTACCCTCCACGTGCCTTTAGTGGGAAGGATCGTCCATTTACTCCCCGCGACATAAGCAACCATGAGCAACGCACGCCAAAAACTGCGTGCTCCTGTGGCTTCCATTTAAGCCAAAGGATTCCTCCGGACCCTCGGAACCCTCTCCATCCTCGGAACCCGCCCCGCTTGAAGTCTCCAGACCTCCCTCCCCTCCTGCGTGAAGGGCAGGCACACCGCCAGGCACAGCATCCGCGCCGCGCCCCGGGGCCGCGGCGGCGCCGGGGGCGGCGAGGGCAACTTGAACTGCTCCAGCTCCTGGCGATTCGCTGGAACCTGCAGGCCCGGGATCAAAAGTTGGGAAGAGACCACCAGTTTAACCAACTTAAACCGGGAAACAAAATAGAGGGAAGCTGATAGGGGATTGAGTCGCCACACCGAAGTCTGCTCGTGGCGTTTCTCTTTTGGTTTCCCCTTGGAGCGCTTCCTCTTTGGGTGTCCCTAGGTGACACTTTGGTGTCCCTAAAGGGAAACGGCTTGGACTGGCGGTGTGATGATTAGTTCCATTTGCCAAAGATTAAAATCCCAACAGTCAGAGCAAAGGGAGATTCTTCCCCAAACGCACAGATTTGACAGAAACTAACGCTTTTTTGTGCCTGACCATCTGCAGAACTCGTGAGGTGGGCTTGGTTGTTCCAAATGGGTGGGATCCCAAATCCTCATTCAAAATCCGTAAGCAGACCCACTACGGCCCAGATGCAGAAGCTGTGCTCATCTTGTTGCTGAGCTTGGAAGTCACGCAAGGTGGCCCGGATTGCACTGGCTGGGATTGCCCCTCAAGTCACAGCCTGCTACGATCCCGTTCCAATGGTCCAGGTCTGTCACCTCTACGCATCCCGGACAGCCAATCTCAAGTCGGCAACAGTTTCACCTAGGACCTCGGGCCGAAACTGAAACTAGCCAAACTCCTTGCGCGGTTTTGAGTCAGAATCATGCCTCCCTTGATAGGAAGCTTTACATTGAATTGACGCCGCGGCAAGAAGAATGCACAAGTGTGACACACTATGCCGACCCCCTCTTTTCTTGAGGGTACCCTTTTGGGCTTGGCTTGAGGCAATCCATTGTCGACCGGATCCATATACCAATCTAAATAGGTATTCGAACCCCAAACATATGTGTTTTCCCCTAAATCTGTGGGCCCTACCCAGAGAGCCACAGCTGCCAGGAAGGAATTCTGTGCCCCAAAGCCTTGTGGTTGGCTGGGGCCAAAACCGTGAAAACCAACCTGGCTGTGCCATGGACAAACCATTGGTCTCTCAAGCCGCTTCAGCCCACGACCGCGCTCCATGGAGCCCTGTTTGTGCGCGCACCCAAGCACCCCCACTTTGAGAAGAACAGCCCCCTGAGCTTCTCACAAAAAAGGACCCCACCTATTTTTGGGGTTATAAAAGATGCCAAAAGGAAACCAGCCATAATGGCCCACAATCTTGAACAATCCCCAACCTATCTCATTTTGGACTTCTTGTTCGGAATCCAGCTCCTTCGTGGGAAAGCGCATCTCGGTACGGTTCTCTCGCAAGCAGGGCCGGCCGCTCACGAAGCTGTCCTGGCAGCTTTTCGCGCGAAAAAAAAGAAAGAGCGGTACGATGGCACCATGCGGACATCCACCACAAGGAAATCATAAACACAGCTCAGGGCTGAAAAGTCAGGCCAGAGCGGCCCAGTTCAATGCTAGAGCGACTAATCTCAGTACTTTGCCATCTGGCAAGTGAGGTGCAGCCGATTTGGGGGCGCTTTCATCCGTGTGCGTGTCTGTATGTGCCTGTGTATGCGTGCATGTTCTTTGGCTTATCTCTAAGCTTTGTGTGAAGTGTTGAATCTGTCCAAGGCCAAAGCCCCTCCACATTCAAATGCTTGATTTCCCAGAGCAGCTTCTTTGGAAAACGAACGCGTAAAGGGGACAAGAGTGTTTTGCATTCCAGGCCCATTGTTACAAAGGGGTGGCAACATTGGCGCCAAACCCCTCCTTTTGGCAGCCAATGACATCGTGATGAAGAAAGCCAGGCGCTTTCACAACATTGTCAGTTACTCATGTGGGATCTCTGGTTGGAATCTTTCAAAACAACCCAAAAAGCCAGGGCGAAAAACAGCCACGCATCCCCAAAACGGGCCCTGCGCGGTTGAAACGCTGACTGCTTTCGTTTTATCTCGACTCAACTCACGGCGATGCTCGCCTTAGGCACCTGCGTAGGCATGCTCAACATTGTTGCCGAGGTCTTCCTGCAAATCGCTGGAAGGGAACTTGCCTGAAAATCTTCAACAAACCCCCCCTGCTCTATGCACCTTCACCTTGCATCGACCCAGTTTCCAACCTCAGACCGATAGACCAATTCATTCAAGGAACAAGGGTTGGGGCTGTCTGCAAATAGAGTTGGTACTGTCTTGCTTGTATATCGAAACTATCAAAATTGGGGTTCACCATTCTGAGACACGCCTACATGACATGACATGACCATTCGAAGGTCTTTCTGGTGAGCGTCACTCAACGTGATTGAATCACGTGCCCGTTAGGATTGGGGAGACCGTGGCGGTAACAGCACCTTTGAACATCTGCCATGCAAATATATGCGGTTAAAGAAATTCAGAATACACTATTATCCCATGATTGTGAGATAGCGTTGCTTTCATAGTACCCCCCAACCCCATTCAAATCATCTAGCCCTGACTCCTGCAAGAGGTCAGAAAAAGTCGGAGTCGGGGATCGCAACTAAACACATCTCAATATATAGATGTGAGTTTGATGTCATGCCGCGCTTACATGGGAGATACCCAGAAACAACAAAAGACGAGAATGCCGCCCAAACACCTAATTTGCTGGGGACCGTTCCAACCGCAGCCCTTTAGCGAAGGTTCCAGAGCTCCTTCGCGGTCCGGGCAAGGGTCCAACTAAGTGGAGGAACAGCAAACCGCCGATGGGAACGGAGTAACCTGGGAACTCCAAAAATAACGGGGCAAAATAATTGGAGCTGAAGGTTCTATTGTGGGAGTCATTTTTTTCAACCATCTTGTTTCTCATGTTTCCTTGGTTTGTGGCTGGATTTCTGCAAAGCAGGATCTTTTGAGAATGGGAAGCTGATTGCCCCAAAAACATCATCGCTCGGGCAGTCCTAAAGCAGGCCCTGAAACCTTTAAGCTTAAACAACTTCCTTTTTGCACCGAGCACGGTGCAAACAAACTCTACGGTTCTTCCCCGTAAACCCTTTCGTGCGCCAATCTTTTGGGGGGCAAACGACCCTGGCTGCTTCCTTTCTGCGCGTGCTTTTCTGCCCGCGTTCCCCGTGCTCCCCTTCCCCCCCTCCCCAAAAGGTCGCTTAAATTGCCTTCAACGACATTGGACCCTGCCCATCCGGTCCTGAAGCAGGTCCTGGTCAGATTCCCACTCCTTACCCACGCAAAGGCCAGGCACTCCGGCGTCTCAGTGCATGCCTTCTGGCAGTCCTCAAGCCGGAAGGCGTTTTTTTTGAGGACCCTCATCTCCAATCCTCCCCCACAAGAAAAAAAGAAACCAAAGATGTGCGCTTCTTGTTGGGTTTTTCGGGAATCCCCGTGCAAGACGACCCCTGTGGTGCTTGGTGCTTCTTCCCAAGCTGGAAGCTTGAGTGTTGGGAACACCTGGGCGTTTTCAGGACCCCCATGCTAAAACCAGTAGCAACAAATCGTTTCGTTGGTAGGGCCTTCCTTTTGGGTGAGCCGTATGCTTCACATTGGGAAAGCCACCAGGAGCACTTGTGGGCAAATAGACACGCCAGTTGTAGGCACGCCAGACTGCACGGGCCTCGATCCCCAAAAAGCAAACAGCAACGAAGCCAGCAAGTGAGACAACTGAGCCGGAGAAAGGGACGTGCCAAACCGATTGCGCCAAGGCAAAGGTTCATGCCTGCCAGTAACAGAAATGATAAAAGAATGCTCATTTGGGGGGGACATGGGCATGACCACCAAGTGTACAACTTCAAACTTTCCCACGTCCATGCAGTCTCTTGCAACACAACTATTGACGGACGCGCAGCGAGCCCTTTGACAGAGCCAGCGTTTTCAATGAAAACCCATTGACTAAAATGGCCCTGCCACTGGAGTTAGTCACATGGGAAGGACCAATCCTCCAAGCTTTTCACGCAAAGCTTTGACAAGCGACTTCATCCGTATCCGTGGCTTTGGCCCCCTGCCACACAGCAGCTTTCGGCCAGCCACCCCCACATACGTGGCAATAACAAACACAAGTCGCAAGATCGAGCAAACTTCCGGCTGCGATCAGATGCAACGCCCGGGGGCACACATTTGCTTTCTGTGGCTACATCCGCGTCGCCCGCTTCGCGCAAGCAATGAGCTCGTTCTACGTCGCCGTCCTGATTGGCTGCAAGCAAGCCGGAGCTTTCCAGGTCAGCCTTGTCCTTGTCAGCGTCGGCCTGCTTCAGACTGCGCACCACCTTGTCCTTGTCAGCACCGGCTTCCAGCAAAAGACGCACCATGCCCAACTGGCTGCAAATTGGTTCCACGATTGCGGAAACAATAAATCTACGGGGTCTGACTGTCCGAGACCTTAGAAGGCGATGCCAGCGAAGCTTCCTTATTTTTCGATTTCACAGTTTGATTTTTAGCAAGAGTCTCAGAGACTTATCCCCAATCGCAGAACCAATAAATCCCTGAGACTGTCGCATAAAACAAGAGCTGAATTGCGACGTCACGAACCAATAAAAACCCAGAGAAAGCCTGCCTGGCTGAAGCACGATTGTTGGCCTTGTCCTTGTCAGCACCGGCTTCCAGCAAGAGACGCATCACTTCAGCATGCCCCGACCCAGCTGCAACAACCATGGGTGTGTCGCCATGATTGTTGGCCTTGTCCTTGTGAGCATGGGCCGTTAGCCAGCAACTCAACACATCTACATGGCTGCGCTGGGCAGCAAAAACAAAGGCACGCAGCCATTTTCATCGGCCTTGTCCGTGTCAGCGCCAGCCAATAGAAGGCAGCGTGCTACCTTTGCAGCAACGGTGTGCAGCCTTTGTCATCGGATTTGTCCATGTCAGCGCCGGCTTCCAGGAAGCACCTCTGCGTGGCCACACACAGCAGCGGCAAGCATGGGCGTCAAACGACCACGATCGCTCCTGCGGCTGCAACTCCAGCGTCCTGCAGTCATGTCTGGATGAACCGGCTTGTCCAGTAAAAACTGCAACTTCTTCACGTCGCCATGGCGAATTGCTTGGCAAACATCTGCCTGATTATCTCTGTCCTCGGCATGCCGGATTACTGCCACAATCGGACGGGCGGTGTAATTGCTCCACGGGGTACCTGGCTGGATCAGCTCCTTCCCACACACGAGGGCCAGTTGTCTGAAGTTGAGCAATGACAACTTCGCAGCCAATCTTCGTCCTAGCCCATCCACAAACCAGCTGCTTTCGCGCAGCTCCCGCTCGTCCCAGTCAGAGAACTCCTGAGCCGTCAGCGCCTCCTGGCCACTGAGCAAGTCGACGCGAGCCATGAGCAAGCAGCTACAAGGTGACACGCAAACGTCGCATTCGACTTATGCCCTTTCACTCTGCTTCAAAAGCTCCCCACTTGAAGAGTTTGGGTTGAACAGCTGAAACTAAAAAACCTGCAGCAATCAGATGTCTCTGTTATCCAAAGTCTCGAGCCCATAGCTGCCGGAAATTCTTCGTGGACAGCTGTTCTGTTTCAATTGACTGCAGAACCAACTTAGCATGAGTAACGTTACGCCATTGATGTAAAGCCTTTGTGTTCAGGATGTCTGCCATGCCCCAGCCAATCAGAGACCCCTCTCCAAATGCAGGCCCTTTATTGCATGTGTCCAACAAAACATGGCGCAGAACAGGATCATCCGCACAGGCATCAGCAGTTCAGGAGACAGCCAAGTGCGCAAACACCCGCAAGTCTTTCCCACAGTGAATCATGATCTGCCCCGACAAGAAAACTCGACTCTAGAGCCACAGCGCTGCAATATGTCATCTGCGCAGCGTGCTGGAGCGACTGCGAGTTCACACTGCTTAGGTGTGCAAGCAGCGCCCTGCGCAATGAATTGCCTGCTTGCGGTCGGGGGAAAGAAAAGCTTGGAAATCCCCCTGTCCTTAACCCACCCCGCCCCCCTCACCGACCCTCTCTCAGTCTCTCTCTCCGAGCTGCTGAGGGCGAGGGCACATCGCGAATGGCGGGCATGGCTTTGTCCAGCACCAAGTCGATGCCTGGGACCGTAGGAAACCGCCAAAGCGGGGGGGGGGGGGGGGGCCGGGGGTGATGAAAAGGTCCGGTCAACCATGGGATGACCATTGCTTGGAAGACAGCTAAAAACAAGATGTTTCTCCGCTCAAACCGTGCATGGAAGCCAAAAGCGGGTTCTTTTCCCTGCCGGCCAGCAAATCCATTGAAAAGTAGGTTTTGGCTTCATGTCCTGTAGAAATTCCTGTGTAGCTGGCTTCTTAGATTTAATGCACCCAGTTCTTCCAGGGATCATTCTATGACCCCCCAGGGATTACACCCTTTGGGGAATCGCCCTATTCTGGGCTTCCAGCATAAAACCTGGCTTTTCGGACTATTTCGGGTGCTTCCCCTGCGCAACCCGGGGGTGCACCAAAAACAAAAAACAAAAAAACAACAAAAAAAACATGAACACCATTTGGGGGCTGATCAATATTCCCTTTGGGCCCCCCAAATCACAGTTAACAAGCTGTTCCCATGTGGGAAGTTTTGGGTATTGCTTGCAAATCCCTCTGTTTCTTCCGGCGCGGTGAAGCCCGCGTAACGGACATACCCAGCTAGCCTAGATTTCATGGTGCTGGGAGCCAAGCGCTACTCCCCATCACCATGAGTCCAAGCGTTGGAAGCAGCTTTGTCGATGTTACAACATCCTTCTTGGCCAGTGTTGAGGAATGCTCGGGATAGTGGAGCGACAACCAAAACTCGGGTAGATGAAGGTTTGTGGGCGTCACAGGCGCCACATGAAGCAATGCCTCACCCCATGCAATCCCCATGCCCGATCAACGGTCATACTGGCGATGTGGACGATCTGGAAGCCGTACATACTGGCATTTGATTTCTGAAGAGGAACTTGTCCGGTGCTGTTTGCGCCTCGTTTTCGGTGCCCTCCGTGCCTTCTTTGCTGGAAATCAACGAAATACCTGGCAAATTTCTGGAGGTGAGAAGTTGATTTCCAGGCCTTCAAGCATGGAGTAACCGAAACCTGGAAGCCGGCGAGCTTAAAAGCAACGGGCCGGGTCCCGACGTTGAAGAACAGAAGCCCCACAAAAGGCAACCTGCTTCAGCCACGCTTGGTTCACCGCGACTCGAGTGGTCTCGATGCAAATGGCTCTCTTTCCGCCTACATTTCAGCAGGTGGATGGAACATCCTTTGTGTGAACAATGCCTTCCAGAACTTTGGGCCCATCCCCAGAGGGACCTACATGGCCCTCCCTCGTTGAACAGCCCCCCGGATCATAAGCTCGACTCATCAGGCGGAAATGATTTGGACGGATGGTCCCGGCTCTGCGGGCCAAGGGGCCGATGGACAAGGGGGGGCACTCCCGGGCAATCTGCCAGCTCATCTGGTCCTCCATCCAGGCCTGAACCCCCGAAATCTTCAGGTTGAGGTGTTGGTGTGTCGCCCTTCTTGAAATTGAGTGAGTCCCCCGTGGTCCAAACCCCGAAATGACAAAACAAAAGTCAGGATATTTGGCCTTTTCACCGCAAAGGCAACCTACACACCTGAAAGGCAACCACCGGGAAAGCCCCTAAGAGGCCATTTGCGTCCCCCCGTGGTTTTATGACTAGCTCCTTCAAAGCAAACTGGCTTTCCAAGAATGTACAAGCCAATCATCTTGCTCAGCACTTACGCCCCACAGCCCCATCTACGTGTCTCGGACAAAATGATGGCTGGTACAAAGTGACCCCAGGGCAACCACCTATGTTCCACCGAAATGATACCTCCAACTCGCTCGAAGGCCACAAGATTGGCAACGGAATCCACCGCCGCTTTCAGGGCACACCCCCAGGACCCCTAAAAAGGACCTGCTCTGGACTCTGTTTGGGATTCGCTGCTTGCGGATTCGAAGCACGAAGTGGGGCGATCGGATCCCCCTTGTGCCCCTAAGATTAGTTGAACACCACACCCTGGTATGGAGTTCAAAGGCCCAACCGCTCGCCCGCGTGGCCTTCTTTTGGATGAAGATAGGGTGGTGGGAGTACTGATAATACCTCCGCTGGGCTGTGCTGCTGTTGAGATCGTCCACCTTGAAGACCTGATGGCTGGATATTTGAAATAAAATAGTTCGATGCTTAGAAGGAACTTTGAAAGGAAGAGTCTACCACTCCTCTGGAAGCAAGAGCTTTGAAATCGACAGTGCTTTGAGGAACTTCAAAAGGAAAAGCCCACCAGTCCAGATCCGGCAGCAACAAACTTTGAGATTGAAAGCCGTTTACAAGGACAAGTCTACCAGTCCAGATTTGGAAGCAATTCGAGGAAAGTAACTACATGTCTTCAATGAGAGTCTAATAGTCCAAATCTGGAGGCGAAAGTCTACCCGTCCAGATCTGGAACAAAAGCGTCCAAACTGAATGCAAAGTGTCATTGGCAGAAAGACGAGGAAGAAGGTTTGCTCTTCCATGTTAGATGTGGCAGCCACAAGTGTGGGTCATGGTATAGATAGATACATTCTAGATTAGATTAGATTAGAGTAGATTGGATAAGGTTAATGGATGGATGGACGGACGGATGGATGGATGGATGGCTGGCTGGCTGGCTTGCTGGCTGGCTGGATGGCTGGATGGCTGAATGGATGGTGGATGGATGGATGGCTGAATGGATGGTGGATGGATGGATTGATTAGATAAATCGATAAGTATGTATGTATGTATGTATGTATGTATGTATGTATGTATGTATGTATGTAAGTATGTATGTATGTATGTATGTAAGTATGTGGCTGTGGCTCAAAAAACCGGTACCAAAATGGAAGGTAAGTGGAAACATGGACCAAAACCTGCGTAACCCCTCCTGTTTAATTTTGAGCCACAGCCATGTATGTGTGTATGTATGTATCTACCTGCCTGCCTATCTATCGTTCTATCTATGCATGTGTGCATGTTTACAAATGTGTTTGTGTGTGTACGATGACTGCATATGAATATGTATATATATATATATATATATATACGTACATGTATATATATATATATATATACGTACATGTGTATATATATATATATATACATATATATATATATATGCAGAGAGAGAGAGAGAGGGAGGGAGGGAGGGAGGGAGGGAGGGAGGGAGGGAGAGACAGATATATGTATATATATATACATTTAGAGACACACACACACACAGGTGCTCGAACTTGAAAATCTGCACCGCACCGCGGCGAGAGCCATTCCATCCACGCAAAGTCCGTAAAGGGTGATCTTCAATGTAAACAACTCAGCGAGAGCCTAGATCCAAACAGCTGCCGACCCAGCTCAACACATTTCGCCACGATCTGCAAACTTGCACGAAGCCCGCGCAAAAATGCCAGCGAAAAACGCGCGAGCCCTCCATCGGACCCTTTGCGCTACTTGGGGAGAAAGTGAAATGAACCCCAGATTCGCCACAGCACTGATCACTATCTTGTGAAGGGGATGGCTGGGAACCACCGAGTAAGATGGTCCCTTGCAGCTAGCGCAGTTTTTGCCTGGGTCACGTCACCTGAAGCCCTCTCCGACAAGGCTTGAAATGGTGGGCCCACCAACTATATAAACACTCTACAAGTTGGCACGCCCCCCCCCCCACCCTTCCTGAGGGAATCAAAAGATAGCTGCCATGAGCAGCCAGCACAGCAGGCAACCAAAGCTTTGGCCTCTAGATTAAAAAAAAAAAAAAACATGATGGTTCTCCCTGGCATTCAAATCGACAGGCATTCTTCCACCCCCGCCTTGGCCCACTGCTCCATAGGCAGCACCTCCTCCGGCCGCGTGGGCGCCCATTCTTGCACCACCCCCCGCAAGGCGTGCTCGACCTTCACCTCCGCGCGCGTCTCTGTTGACCGCGCGAGGAGCCCCAGCACCGCCAGGCACGCCAGGCACGCCAGAGCCAAGGGCACCAGCGCCTGGCAACGCAGGTCCACTTGGGGCTGTCTTAACATTGGAAACTTGGTTGACGTTGGAAGGGGAGAAAAAACAAACAAAGAAGTCAAGTGGGGATTCCCACTCAACCACAATAAGCAGAAGTGTACAATGTTTCCCAACAACAACCATGCAAAACCCGGAGTGTTTTGTTGTGCCCTCCGGGTTTCCCTTTGAACCAACCCCAAACACGGTACCCTCAAAAATAGACATATTCAGTTCTGGAACTTCAATACCCTAACACAAGCCTCTCCCAAAATTGAGAACGTAAAGGGCCACTTGGAAACACTGAGGGAAACAATGGAAGTCGAACATGTCTCGTGATTCTCATAAGAAATGCGACATACAATGTATATGTCAAGCGTTCAACACTATGAAACCCTTTTCAAAACCCCTTTAAAAGAGGCCGCACTGGGCAAATGATTCAATTATAATTCACACGATGAAAGGAACCGCCATCACGGATGACATCGCCGGTTGTTGCTAGAACTTGCCCAGATTGAATGCCACCACAGGTATTGGATGTCGCCAAATGTCCAAGGCTCCGATTGATTCTTTAACCTGACAAGTGAGGGACAAGTGAGGGTTGCTCCAAATGAAAGAACCATACAGGGGCGTGCCTGCAGTTTCTACCTGCCCGTATGTTTTCCACGTGCCCAAAATCCCACCCGTCTGCTTTCCCACTTCGTCGCCTACTCTTAGCAGATTGTGCTTTTTGGAAACGGCGTTCCGTTTTAGAGAAGAGGGAGAACATCCGCCTAATCCGCCGGGTACAAAAACATCTGGGGTCATTACCAAAACCCAACCTCCGGACACTTTTGTCTGCCTCTCCCTGTGCCTTGAATCTGCTCTCCCGAGGCGCTGGCAATGCCAGATCTGGCTCCGAGTCGCTTTCCATGAGCACCGCTGGGGGTTGTACCCAGTCGCGTGCAGAAGAAAGCGCCTCTCGAAACCGTTTCGTCTCCCCTTGCGTAACTGTGAGCTGTAACCAAATGCCCTTTGGAGGAAACTGCGAGCGCCTGGCCCAAGTGCTGGTTTGCAGGTCTGTTCTAAGCTGCTCACAACTCGAGCCTGAGCATGCATGGATGTGTCAACGCAGGGGGAAGGGCCCAGTCAGTTTGATAGAGTTGCAACAGCGCGCGCTGAGCGTGATCCGTTTCTTCCAGTAATGCAACCTTTCCAAGAACTGGCTTTGGCCTTGACTGCTATTGGGTTGGATCTTTAGACTTTAACTTTTTGGTTATAATAATGGTGTGAACCACGAACCCCCCCAAAAAAGTTAAACTTTTTGAAGGGGGGTCAACAGCAACCAAGTGGCGAGCAAGTGTGTGCCCATTGAAGTTTATCGCTACTGATGCTGACATTCAAGCGCCGGAGAACAGGTGGGTCAGAGCTCGTATGCAAACTGGGTGCGTAGAGATTTAGCAAGTACCAGTGAGAAGACATTATTATCTATGCATTTATTTTGAAACACCGTGTGAACTGTCCAAGGCTGATTCTTGGGCAACGATCCACAGAATTCTCGGTGTTGCCATCACAGTGTTAAGCCCTGAGTAGCAATTCTACCAGCGCCTCGGTTCCATGAGAGGCTTGTTTTTCGTGTTTCTCACATCTGCCCATCTCTTGGACAACGTCAGTGGGGGCAAGGCAAAAACAAAATCAGCACGTTGGGCAGAAGGTCAGGCAAATTAGGGATCGCCTCAAAGCGTGATCCGGACTATTTCAGCATCGCAAGCCGGGATTTTCACTACAGGGCTTGCTTTCAAATCTGTTCAATTGGCAACTGTGGGATCTTGGACAACTTCAAAACAAGACCCAAGTGCTCGCCATGCCAAGCCCAGAACACACGGCACGGGGTGTCTTTTTTGAGCGAGCGAGGGGTGAAAAACCCTGTGGCTTCCCGGGTTGAAGAGATAATAAGGTCAAGTCGCTGCAAATTGACATGAACCAATGAGTTTCCTCCTGAACATGAGGGGGTATTGTTGGGTTCCCTGTCCATCTGCGGAGCAAAGGGAGTCTTTTCCTCTGGCTCCGCCGCGGCAATCCGACCCCTTTGGGGCGGGTTAGATTTGCCTCAAATGCCTCGGAGGCGTAAAGTTGATGAACCGACAGCGAACTTCACAAAGTGTCTGAAAAGAATGGTGGCTTTGCTCTTGGTTTCCCTGTAAGCCTACCTAAGCAGGGCACTCTCTGAAAAACAGCACACCTATACAGCCCATGGGCCCCTGTGAAGCCATTGTGTGCCTTCAAAGCCATCTGGCCATGCGGATTATCGATTGGGGGGATGCCTTAAAAGAAGGTGGACCCTTTGTGGATGGCTCCTAAAGAAAACCTAAAAAATGTGAACCTCCGAAGGATTCCTTTTTTTGAATTTCCGCTTGTCTTCTGGTTCGCCACTTCCCTTTTGCAACGGGGTCGGTTTCTGGAAAGCTTGTCGGGCCAAACACACCCGGATCAAAAAAACACAGGTGCTGTCGGGTCCCCAACTCTTCCATGTTTCGAGAAACGGGAATCGAACTATGAATCGCAAATTCCGTGTTTCAAGCTTTGCCCACAAACCCATATGGAACTAGAACTGGAAGAACAAGGTCAAAGCCCCTGCCTCCCGGGCATGCCGAATCTCACGGTTCTGACTTTGACAGCTCCAACTGAGCGTCAAAGCTCGCAGCCGGAGAGTCTGATTTGCCACCACTATGGGATTTCTTCTCCGCGGGCGGAGCCGCAACTCTGGTGATCCTTCGCCCAAGGTCATCGCCGAACCAAAGGCATCCCCTTGTGGAAGTGGAACCTTCAAGCGTCTACAAACCTAAAGGGTCCACCATCGCTGCCATCCCCAAGCAAGAAGTCCGTTCGCACATGGCACACGTGGCGATTTCGGGCGTGCTTTTCACACCGACCCCCTGCTAAAAGTTAACTTCTAGTGGTTTAATACGGAAACCCAGTTGGCAAAAAGTTAAAGTCCCAACATCCCTTGGCAACATGCACCAAAGAGTAGAGAGCTTAGAATAAAAATAAAAATACCAACTTGTTGCTGAAATGTTTTTTTTGAGGGGTACCGAATCCCACACTTTCCGGGAGAAGAGAACCCCCTGACGCCTGAGCAAGGCAAAAGAAATGGCCTCTGCTTCCGTCCATTCAACTAAAACACTGGGGAAACTGCCCTCTGGTCAGACCGTCGGTCGTTGGCCCGCCTTCCGGTTGCGCGAGATGCGATGCGGCGAGGAAGCGGTCTCCAACCCAAAGAAGGCAAAGCAAAAGGCAGCAAACCCATCTAGAGGCTCGGAACCATCTGGAAATCCTGCACGTTAGAGTGAACCTGCAATTGGTGGAATTGTACTATGATAGTGCGGAGACACAGAGGTGTGAGATTTCTGGGCAGCTTGTTGCTCCGCAAGTTTGGGGGCGGGGCGGAGACCACCCAAGACACTGAAAGGCGACTTCCCTGCCAAGTCCTATAACAAGGTTCGGTACGGACGTCCTGATACTGGGAAAAGAACAAAGCAAAGCTCTCTTGGGAAGGCGTCAAAGTGAAGGATCCTGAAAAATGGCAAGGCATCAAGAAGAATTCCTTGCAATGAACGAAGGGGCGTTCGAACGGAGCTTTGCACACACACGCACACACACACAAACACACAGCCAGCCAGCCTGACTCCCTGGTTTGCGCGGAGACTGCCTCCTGCCTCCATGTCCATCACGATTATTTGAAGAGGGACAGCAGCTTCCTGGGCCAATGATACGTCGTGCCTCTAAATCGAATACCTCCTCCTGGCATATCAAACTTGGGACCCATTTAAACGGGGGTTTGCCGTATCTGTCCAGGGGGTCAAACTCCTTGCAACACAACCTCCATGGAAACCGAGAGGCAAGCAGGGCATGAGGAGAGAAGCTTAATGGGCGGAAGAACCAGTTGAATCCTTGCTGAAAATTATTGAAGGCAACCCGAACCTTCACAAGCATCCCTCACGAAAGGGGCGCTTGCGCCTTAGCCCGAGCAAAGCTTGGGAGGCCTGGAAGATGACCTCGCCGGCTTCCCTTCGATTCCTGACTTGGGAAGTTGAAGGCCCCAATAAACCAAGGAAGCGGAACACAAAACATCCGATACCCCCTGGACACATGCCAGCAAGCAGTCAGTTTGCAGAGAAAGGGCACTGGCAACTCTCTGGAAAGAAGGCAACAAACAAAACAGCAACAAACTGGGCGCGCAAAGCAAAGCAAAACGGTTGAGGAATCAAAAAGGAGCAGAACGGACAACAAGGCGCAAGCATCAGCATCTCATTCTACAATACTTCCAAAACCTGAAAGATGGAGAGCCCCGCTCGTGATACCCTCGGATCGGTGGCCCCTGATCTACTCCCATTAGGACGAATCGGTGGACATCATTCAGTCAGGGCATTCATGTCCATCAGCCACTTTTGAGCCGGGCCCCTGTGAATTTCCCACTGCCACCTCAAACCAACTGTGGATGGACGAAATCCTGCACCACTTTGAAGCCATGGGAAACCATTTGTTTGTTGGTATTGACAGGGGAATCGAATCATTCTAGGACTTCTTAGGTGCAGTCCGGGCATTTCATGCCAGGGATCGACACCTGCGTGGCCTTCTCCACCTCATCGCTGAAGCTTCTCGCCAGCATCGCCTTGGCATTCAGGATCTGCGCCTCGGGTGGGCGGCGAGGCGGCGAGGCGGCGCGGCCGGCGGCATCGCAAAGGGCTCCATATGCAGCCGTCCATGTCATTCTTATGAAATAGTGGGGCTATTCCCATGGACGTACGCCTATCATTGAGTTCAGTAGAGCTAGTGAGTCCTACACACGAGCCACAGAATGACATGTAGACATGCGGAAAGGGGGAAATCCTAGGCGCCATTCAACAGACAACAAGCTAGTACGTGTGACGGTTGGCAATCTCAGAGCAGTGCAGCTCGCTATTCGGACCACACACCCCGTCCAAAAAGGTTATATAAACCAATAGTGCTGTGTGCTTCATGTTTGGTCAACAGGTTGCACAATGTCTCCTAGCTCCAACCCTCCAAAAGGAGATCAAGCTTGTTTGCTGGTTTAACTACCCCCAAATTTGAGGGGGGAGAGGGTCAGTTTTCCTGTTGGCTTCCCTCTGATCCGACCTCAAAAGCGGCTTGTCCGTTGGCTCGTGCGAGGCGCAAACTTCTGGGCCCGGACGCCCAGCTGCTCCAAGTTCTCGTGGTAGAGGTCTGAGACGGCGTGCCTGGCATTCCATGCCTCCCCTTTGGGCCGGCCGGTTGTTGGGCCCCTCGACTGATCAAAGGAAGTCTACGGGGAACCTCCGTACTGGCGCTAGCTGAGATTTGCTCTCTCTATATTATGATACAAGCACTTGCGCATGATCTTTAAGAATGGATGCACCTCACGTGAAAAGCTAAGCAAAGGCTGGAAAACGCGAGGACTGGGGAATAGAAAGAGGCACACAATGTTGGCCCCAGCTCCTCGGCAAGTGTGCAAACCATCTCGGTTGCGACGCCTGTACGGCGGTCTCGGAACAGGTGCGGAACGGGTTCGGCGACGCGACCATTGGCACCGGGCGCCCACTGTCTCGCGACTATGAAATCCGTTGGTCTGTGATCATTACTCCTCGGGATTGCGGCAAGCCCAGCTTAGAGGTTCGTTGATCCCTTAAGAGTCATTTGTGCATGTCACAACTCCCGGCACAAACTCTACCCGGTAGAAAGTCTCAGGGTAGGGCTGGAAGCCGCCAAGCCATGACCCGACATGTCTATCAGCGGATCCGTGCGTCAGCTCGGAGTTGCACGATTGAATCTGGTTTGTTCGTTGCAAGGGGTATGTTGTTCGTATCGCGGGTGCCCAAACAGGGCAAAAAAACAAACGAACGTGATTTTGGTCTCACGGACAAGGTCATCCTTCTAGTAGCCGAATCATATGGTTCACGGAGCCTGACATGTCTCACCTGAGGGTTGTTCCAAAAAAGTCGGAGTTCTGCCCTTTCAGCCCCATTTTCTGCCGGGCTGCTCTTCCTCCATGGCTTCCACTTCTCCGACCAGCCTAAGGGCTCGCAGGTACCGAACGTGCAGCCGAGCCATCGAAGAGGGCCCAAGAACCTCCTCGTGTAACACCGAAAACACCCCCCCCTTTTCTCCCCAAGCACCAGACAGCTCAAACACCATAAACACCCAAAGCAAACCCGGGCACAAACCGGCGAGCTGACCCCCCTACCCCAATCCACACGCCTATGCTTCCTGCACGATGCATCTATACCATTCCCAAAAAGGCACATGGGGCGCACATAGCTGGAAGATGCCGAAACCTTGGGTTAGGGCAGGAAGGGGTTGAACATCACCTTGTGGTTATGTTGAGCTGGTATGTGTCGTGGTTCATGACTCGCAGCACGCCAAATAGGAGAAAGCTTCAAACAAAAAGCAATTGGCGCCTTGAGGTACAACGGCCTAAATCAGGGGTTTTGGGGTACAATAAAAGACACTCATGGCATGATCGCAAGAGAATGTGCCATCTGGCCCCTTGTATTGTTGCCACCGACAAACACCGTCCGCGTCTGTTTTTCTTCTGATCGTCTCCATCCTTGCGGCTTTTCTGACGTCCGAGGGGCAAGATGCCGAAGATCTGCAGATACTGCCACATAGGGCCTGGCGAAAACCCAGAGGACGTAGGAGGGGCGTCGCTCTCTACGTGGGGAAGTCTTCCGTTTTGGAGCGCGTCAAGGGTTGGAAACAAGCAACGATGAAGCATTCCTAAACCGGGAGGGCCAAACCAAAGCAATGAACGATAGTACTGTCAAAAGAAGCACACATGAAGCAAGAGGGGTAGTTGTTCTGTCGGGGCGTCAGAGCTAGTCTGGAACTCTAAGCATGCATTTGCTCCAACAGATCTGTAGCAAGGTCAATTTTACTGCAACAACTGGATACTCCGCCTCTTTCTACTTGACATGCCCGCCGTTGCCTCACTGCCAGTCAGTATTTGTACCATACACTACATGGATAAACCGCAACTCAAACCCACAACCCAACTTAACCAACTCAACCCCAAGCACCCACCCCCTTCCCGCGCCTCCGTGCTCCAAACAGATCTGGCAGAAGATGCTGCTCACCACACCCACATAGTATGCCTACGGATGCACTCAATGCACTCGAAACGAACCCACCACCCAAAGGAATGCCAAAGGCATCAGCTGGAACGAATAATTAGAAAGAATTGGGTCATGAATCAGAAGGTTGTGCTCCTCATGCTGTCCCCTCTATTCCGCCACACTCGCAGTAGTGCTATGTAGCAGGTGTCTGTGTACTGGTAGCACAGGAAGCAGGTGCGAATGTTTCTCTCTGACATCTGCACTATTCCAATCCTCACGGTGGCCATGAGTGAAATTCCTGGCAGATAAGAAACATAGGCCTGGGCCTAAATTTGCTACGCGAAATATGGAATCCCCAAATAGCCAACCAATTGAGCTCGTTTTTGCTTGATGTGAGCGCAACACAATGTGTCCGTCACAACGTAACCCTGATTCACACAGGCATGGGCACCATGACAGTGAACATCTCAAGAGCAGCTGCACGCTGTCTGCTTTCTTGCCTAAGGTTCCTGCGTCCAAACCAATCCCTAGACACTTTCTCACTGCGCAGAGCATCCTGAAATAAGTTGGGTGACCCTAAATGAGCACTGGCAAAGGGTTCTAGCATGCTACACTCATGATTTGCTAGCTGCAACCCGTTTATCTGAGTTCGATTATTATATAATACAGTGCCCCAAAATTTAGAGACCCCATGTCGCTTTTGTCAACAAGTGAGGTCGCTGCTGGTGACACAGACTACACATTGGCCCTGCAAAGCATGCGGCGGAATTAAAAAATGACAAATATGTGATGTCCAACAGATGGGTGTATGTCAAAATTTTGAGGGGACACCGAAACGGAGGGGTTCCTTTGTGGATTCCCTTCAAACCAAGCTGACAAGGGTAGCTACCAAAATTGCACCGGAGGGAGCAAACAAGCACTCAGAAGCACCCAAACAGGTGCATTTGAGCTGGACAAAGGCCAAACTTAGGCCAAACTTTGATCAATCGATCACGGCCAAACTTGCCGCAAGTCGCACGAAAACTTGCTGCTGAGTGGGGAATGTGGGAATGAACCAGGAGTCCCCTCAAAGGAAGCCACAAGGGATGGTTCATAGAGGTCATTCCCTCATTCCCTGCCTATCGCACCAGAAAGCCAAACAGCCAAGGGCGACGCTTCGGGACGGCGACGCGTATTTCCCCGTGCGAGTCGAAGCGCAGCGCCGGTGCTGGCGCTGAGGCGGCCCCGGTGGTACCACTCCTCGGACTGGCGAAAGGCCGCGTCCGGCCGAAACTTTCATGGACCAACTCCAAAGGATATTAATGCGAGCTCGCCAAACAGGCAAAATGGATATGGGGGATCCCAAAATTTAATTCCGCTCACTCAGGTCCGTTCCCCAAGGAATAAGTCCGATCCTACTGATGGACAGTCCGTTTGGGGTTCCATATTAATCTGCAAAAGGGAGTAGCTGTACCTTTCCAATTCTGTTCAGGGAAATGGGTGGTGTCTGAACTCAAACATGGTAAACAGAATGTTGGGTGAACCTATGACCGACATGATTGTCCTTTGGTGCAAGCAGAATCCATTGCCCCGGAGAATAGGAAAGGAAATCTTAGACATCCTCAGATATTTCAATTTGGCCTACGCTTCTTTCAAAGGCTGCACCAAAATTGTGAGAAGAACCAATGCACTGTTTCCTTCAAAGGGGAAAGGGTGTGCCAGAAAGAGTGTTCTCGGGTGCGTTGGTGAGACTATAGGGTTCCTCGATCCGCAAAATTGGAATGAGTCCCGTTGCGTTTCTGCAAAACTGAGGATGGCCACAAGCAGAGGGTTGTCCGCTCTCCAATTTTGAGAAGCCATCTTCTGTTGAGGCTGTCTCAAACTGAGGAGACCCAAAATGGACAGTTATGCTTTGGGGTTCCTTTGAACCAAGCTCAGAAAGGGCTCGCAAAAATAACCCCTGACGACGACAGCACTTTGGAAATCTGGAAGCCCCGTACTTGTTGACGCTCTGCATGGTCACCCGCAAGTCCAACCTGCTTTGGGATCCATTGAAAAACCCAACCGGCGAGTTTAAAACGCCCACCGGCGTAAAGACATGCGTGTAAAGAGGAACGTCCTCGGAATCGTACAAGGCGTGCCAAAGATCTCAGCAGAGCAAGAAGCAACAAGCACAAAAGCTCAGAGAAAGAAATTCGGAGCAGATATGAGAGTCACGCTCTTTCTCTTAATACGGGCTGGCATAGACAACCATCCCCCATACACTGTGACACTGAGATATGTTGTGTGTGTGTGTGTGTTCAATCATCAATGTGTAGGATTTCCCAATCAGAGTCATTGCCCCCACTCGGTTGGTGCAGGAATTCCACCACCAATTCAGCTGTGTGTCAAAACTACAGACTCCCTCCCAAGGCTTGGTTTCATGCTGCCCTATGGACCAAAGGGTCCAACTCATTTCTACCCTACACAGCCCCAACCAGCAGAGTGGGGCAAACTATGGTTTAAGCACCACCTTGACAAGAAATCGTCGTGTTTCAACCAACGGGTAGGCCCAGCCCCAAGCAGTCGGGTCCCCTCGGCCAAGTTGGAGCGAGGCTCCGCCCACAAGCTGGGCAGGCACAGAAAGTCGCCCTCCGCCACCTCGAAGGTCCGGCTGCGCGTCAGGTAACTCATCCGGCCGTGCTCCACGATGTAGACCTGGCGCAGGGGTTGCTTTGTAGACCTGGCGCACGGGTTGCTTTCACACCATCTGCAACAAAGGATTTCAACTTAGGATACCTGTTGAGCAAACGAATCTGGAGCAAGCTTCGACATGTGACGCGACAAAAAGCATCCGAAAGTGTCGCGAAGTTGGATTCTGTGTCTGACAAAGAATTCACCTGCGTGAACTGTGCTTCTCCTTTTCACGCTCAATAAACAGGGCTCCCCATATTCCCAAAGGGAAAAGCATTTCGAACTGGCAAACAAAACAATGCTTTTGTCACCATCCTCCCGAGAAGTCAACTTGAACCATGTGGATGGTCACGTCCGCAAGAGTGCCAATGACTTCAGTGACTGAGACCATCAGCCCATTCATTTGGCCTAGCCCGGAATGTGTTGGACGAGTTTGCTTTTGTGAAAGCCCGAGAACATGTTCCTCTTCAAAGGGCACCCTGTCAGGTGCCCTGCTGGAGGGACAAATCCCGCTGATTTCCCACAAATCGGCACCCATCTGGGCTTCAGTCCTCCCGGTGCCCTACTGGGCCACTAAAGGGTGGTTTAATAACCCTCGGTTCAAAAGTACACACGCGTGCCAATAGACGTGCCCTACTTCAAAATGGGCATGTGTCTCCGACAGTTCCCTTGTTGCTTTAAAGAGAGCCTAAAGGGACAACCGAACATGTCCTTTTTTTCTTTTTCGTGTGGGTAAGGTCCCATTCGACTACCCCAACGAAACCAGCCCTGGCCCCACTCAACGGGAGAGCAGCGGTTCGCCTCCTCGCAGTTGGTGCCCGGCATGAAGGCGTCCTGCATGGGCTTGGCCGGGTGCTCCCGCATGGCCTCGTGGCACAAACTCCGGAAGAAGTGGACGTCCTGAAACGGAAGCGTGGGGAAACGCCGGCGCAACCGGCCAAGCAAGCAAGCAAGCAAGCAAGCAAGCAAGCCAGCAAGCAAGCAAGCAAGCAAGCAAGCAAGCAAGCAAGCAAACAAACAAACAAACAAACAAGCACGAGAATGCTGTAGTTCCTCACGTTTGGGGCAGATGGGTATGCCTGAATGTTCATTGGACACAAGTTGCTTTGGTGGACATCAGTGAATCAGAAATACGGGTAAATGTTTGAAACATGCGGCGCAGTGAAACTACCGCATGAAGGAGCTTCCACCCCACAAGCCTCCAGGAAACCAAAGGGAACTTGGAAGTTGGACAGCAATGATTCGACCTACAACAACAGCTTCATACTGTGCATGGACGAAATCCTGCACTGCCTGAGGAACCCTAGGATGATGATTTCCCCAACAATGGTTTTTCATGGTTTCAAAGTGGTGCAGGATTCGTCCATCCACAGTATGGTCACGTCCATGTCTAGCTTTCACCCGTTGCCGTTGTCAAAAACGGAGCTTGAAGGAAAACCAGCCAATTTCGGGGGTCCATGATCAGCCCGCTGAGTTACCGAGCACTCTGTCTCTTGTGCTCCTTTCACTCTCAGCTGCCTTCTGGTCCATACAAGATACCAGTCTATGGTGACCTGCTTGTTGTTGCAGCAAAAGAACGATGGGAACACACAAAGTGGTTGTTGTCCTTTCGACTTACTTTCAAACCAGCCCAACATGGAACACCCTAAAAACGCACACATGCACATTCACAGCATTCAAAGGGATGTGGGCGCTTTCGACCCAAACCCAAACTGAATGCCTGCCGTCAAATGAGGAACATGAAATCCTGTATTCTTCTTCTGCTGTGACTGACTTACAAGGGTTTTGTCGTGTGACGTGGTTTCACTTGCATGTGCGTGTGTGCTTTGAAACAGAAACAGAAGGAAGCCGAAGCCATTCAGGTCCGCATCCCACCTTTGCCACATACCATCATTGGTCAATTTTGATGGGGGGCCCTCTGATATAAGTCATTTAAGCGAGGATTTATGTCCACAGCATTCTTGGGTGGGTTTGCCAAATAGTAGTTAAATATCCGTGGGGATTCAATCGCAGCCGCGCGCATGCAGTCCTCAGCACTCTTCCAGCTGGGCCAAATGGCCAGTCGACGAAGGGAGGACATGAACATCTCCTGTGCCAGGTCGTGTGTGAGTACCCCTTTTGGGTGTCAAAACAAGGGTTAAGAAGCCAACAATTGTGCTTCTTTCTTGTTGGTGTCCCTTTCAACAGTGCCCTTTTGTGGTTGTGTTAAAGGGAAAGCAACAGAAAATCCAGGGGCATGTCTTGAAGTACTCTACTTTGGGAACACCAAATGATAGTTGACCCCCGCAATTCATAGTTGTTTCTCCGCCCAGTGACCCCGGTCTGCAAAGGTGCCCAACTCAGCATTTGAAGCAAACATTCAGACCAAACCGCGGGGCGGCCGCTTTCTTCACCCTGGAGGCCACAACTTCAAGGGAGCCATTGCCCGGAAGTGACATAGAGCCCATCATGATTCTACTGTAGGAAAGGGATGAGGAGAGCACGCAAATGCACGTGGGATTCGCTTTCTGCTTCCCCCTTTGCTTCGTTGAACCAGAGGCTAAGTTTCCCATTCTTCCCGAAGGGACCATAGAGATCCAAATGCGTTGGTCTCATCGGGGAAGCCCCCCACCCACCCACCCCCAGGGTTGGGCAGTTCATCGATTCATCCCCTTGCATGAAACCACGGTTTAAACACCTATCGGATCTTTCCAAACCTCCTTTTGGTTCCCTAGAAGGCCATAGACCTCTGCCTTTTTGTTCCATGTCGCGATGCCTCCCCAAAAAAGTATCAAGGGAAACTTCTCTTGCTCAGCTGCGACCCAAAACTCTTCCAGGGCCACTGAGCCACCGCTCGCCTCATGGAGCTGCACTTTGAGCCTCTGCGGGATGCCGCTCATCAGCGCCACCTCGCTCTCCTGCAGCCGCTCCTGACCAAAAAAGAGAGCGAGAGAAAGGATCCGAGAGAGACAGCTTTTTCGGTGTGTTTCCCCAAGGCCCGAAGTTCCTGGCTGCAGTGAGGGGTGGTTTTAGGGTGCCTTCCTTGCCATTTGGCTTCTCTGCAGAAGCGTGTCACGGGGGTACATTCCCATCTAACATAAAAGCAAGAACCAGGGGTGGGGGAAACACTTCCCCTCTGGTTTTATCAAGAACCCCCTGTGTTTGCCTACTCTGCCGCTCCCAAAAAAGAAATGATGGTTGGTTCCAGAGTTGTACTGGGCTCGGTGTGTAAGCCTTAAATCAAGGTTCCCTTCAAGGAAATAACGTAATGATGGACGAAGCACGATTACGTTAGAAAAGTTTCGGACCCCATCGCTCTCCCACATCGTTTACCGTCGTTCACTTAAGACTTGGAACTAGGATTGCCCCTTAACTCCTTTCCGTCTGGGGCTTTCGTTTTCACCATACTCACATTCTTACGTGGTAGGTCAAGGGAAACAGTCCCTAAGGAAACCTGACTTTGATAGCCCCTAGAAACAGTCAAAATAATTGTCCGCTGTGATACCCCCCCCCCCCAGTTGTGCATTGCTGGCCGCAACAACCTGTAAGATCGACATCTGCAATCTGGACACCATGTAACACGTCTTCAAGTAGTGCGAGCAACCTGAAACGCCTGTGATTATCAAGGTGCAGTCAGACCTAAGGAATCACGTGTTGCAACTGCATGTCACCGTCATTTGTGTTTGCGTGCTTGCAGCAAAGACATCTCCACCTTGGGTGTTCAGCAAGCAATGCACATCCATTGACTCAAAGCCCTGCCCCCCTTGTTTAGCGCCACCCAAACACCTATGCTGAAGAAAAAAGGCAACAATAGGGATCATTTCTGATTACAGCTGGGTGGACTTGTAAGACACAATTCCAACCCGGGTCGCCCTGTCAAACTCACCAAACGAAGGAACTCATGGATAAAATGAAGCCTGGAAACGTGTTTTCTGCCGCTCGCTCTCAGCTCACATCTCTCGCCTCAAAGAGGCCATCCTTGTGCAGAACTTCCTCCACCTGACAAGTTTGATCTTTCCTTGGAAAAATGGGCGATCCAGCCAGCACCAAGATGTCTGGGACCCGTGTTAATGTCAAAGTAGGTACCTGACCCGGCCGGGCCAGGCTTGATTCCCTGAAGCATCTTGGCCAGGGGGTGCGGTCGAGGCATGAATGCCTTGTCATGATACGCCTGCTCAGAACTGCACACACGCCTGCAAGCGATAAGCGCACCAGCTCAAGAGCATCCGCGCGTCCGCAAAAAGGGGCCCCAGCATGCGCCAAAAAAGGAGGTTCGTTTGCCTCATTGTCCGCATCGTTAAAAGGCCAAAATCGCTCCAGGTTCCTTTTCCCCGCTTAAATTGGAGACCCTAACAAAATGTTCCCCTCCAGGGCCCAACTGGGTAGCTGGTTGCGAGCGGGACATCCAACAGAACGCATTTCGATGGAAATGCGAAATCACCCGCATATTCACAGCCCTTCTTCGAACACGGCGAGTCAGAGATTCATTTGCACGACGTGCAACTCGTGTCATCGCAAGCATGTTGAGGCCATGGTCCGGATCGAGAAGTGCACTCCTATCTAATAGTGTGGGGATAGGGACGGAGAGAAACAAGCCTTTCGCTGGCAAACCGTGCTACGCCATGATCGCGATTTGGGGCTTCCTGCTGCATGAGAATTGAAGTACAATCGCAAGAACATAAATTCACTGAACAAATACCTTTTTAGGTGAGCGACCCTGTTTCCACCCCGCCTCCCCGGAAAAGAAGAGAAGAAAAGAAACTGCCCGGAAGCACAAAGTACCGCAAAGCGGTGTGCTTGCTGTTGGCCAGGTTGATGAAGGAAGAACTCTAAAGGGCAAAGGGTGAAAGCAACTGCGGTGATTGCTTCGACTGACCAGCTGGACGCCATATTCTTGAGCAAAGGCTCAACTCCCGCCCCGGTGCGTATCCTCGACCGGGTAAAAGACTGGACCCCTATGCGGAAGCCGGGGGTCCTTGCAGCCCAGGTAGGCAGTTTCCTGCTTGGTGCCCTGTGTCAGCCGTGCCCGCCTTTCCGAAGAGCTCGGCAGAAAGGCTCCGCTCGCAGAAGAAGCGCAGCAGCCGGCTGCGCTGCTGGAACTGCTGCATGCGGCTGATCCGCAAAGAGCCTCGCGACTCGGCGACTCGGACGGCGACTCGAAGGCGACTCGCGGAAGGCACGAGTGGTTTCGTTGCCCAAAAGTTGGTTGCCCAGGAATCACGTTGAGTCCATTCTGGAATTGCAACTGTCAAAAAGAGGAAACCGAAGCAGATACCGGAACGCCTCCAAACTGGGCCACGAAGTAGGGTAAGCTGACAGAAAGCTGGGAGCCTTTGACACCTCCCAGACTAAAGCTTCGATGCTGGCCAGGGTGGGCCGAGAGCCCTATGTGCCATGGTCAAAGCTCCTGACGTCGGTGTCATGGTCATGGTTCTCGCCGTAGGAACTGTTTACGTTGGTTTGTCTAAAACTCCTTGCAACCACAAGTAAAGGAGTCTATTCACATGCTGCAGGTATGTTTGTTGGAGTTCACAACCAAACAACAAATACTGCAGACAAGGTCAACCCTTCTGTACTATACATATGCCACGCATGGTCATGGGTCATCGGGGCAGACAAGTAGCCCTCTTGGTCTGCGGTTGAGTCACGGTGGGTTTGTGGTTTAGAGTTGGTTTGGCTGGGTGTAGGCTTCGAGCTTCGACGGTTAGGGTGGGTTTTGGGTTTAGGTCCGCTTGGCCTGGAGACACCCGGCGCAGCCTTGGTGCCGGGTGTTTCCTTCGTGGAACCCAACGCCACCACTTCCTGTCGCGGAGCTGACCGTCGCAGTGATGGAACTGATGAAGGAGGAGAAGACCCCCATGGCCAGCAGGATGACCCACACGGCGAAGAACCTGACAACGTCAACGCCGGTGTATAGCCGGAATGTTCATCCTCCAAGATTCACACCCAACACACAGACAGGATCCAAGCCCAAACCCGCACCTAAAACTACACCGAAACTTAAATCGGGAATGAACAGCACCCACCGAACGAACGAACGAACGAACGAACGAACGAACCAACGAACCAACCAACGAACCAACCAACCAACCAACCAACCAACCAACCAACCAACCAACCAACCAACCAACCAACCAACCAACGAACCAACCAACCAACCAACCAACCAACCAACCAACCAACCAACCAACCAACCAACCAACCAACCAACCAACCAACCAACCAACCAACCAACCAACCGCGCTTGCAAAAGCAACGGGCAAAACTTCACGAGGAACACCAAATTCCTTGCCACCCACAACAAAAGAGAACAAAAACCGCCTTACCCTCCTACCAGGTTGCCACGTTTCGTTGGACAGTTTGGGGTGCCTCCAGAAGAATCTTCGTTCCACACATTCTTCCAACTCGCGGTAGTCCAAAACGGTCTACCCCCCAATGGAAAATGTCAAACTCCAAATAACAAACCCACCATTTTTGGTCCCCGAAAAGCGGTTGGCACAAGATAAAACAGGCGAACCCCCCCCCCACCCACCCACCGCCTGCTGGCCTTATGGGCCTTCTTTGGCCCTTAGCAAACCTCATAATCTCCAAACAGCCTCTTCGAGAGTGGAAATCGTGTAGCTCTAAGTCCCCTTCACAAAGGCAATTTGCCTTTTGCCGGGCCTCTCCAAGGCGTTGTCCGGGGCCACGTTGTTCGTGGCAGGGGTGAACTGGGTCAGCGTCCAGTGGATGGACACTGCGTACGCCTCCGCGAAGCCAGCCTCGGATGCTTGTAACAACGACGACGACCACGACGACGACGACGACGACGACGACGACGACGACGACGACGACGACGACGACGACGACGACGACGACGACCACCACCACCACCACCACCACCACCACCACCACCACCACCACCACCACCACCACCACAACAACAACAACAACAACAACAACAACAACAACAACAACAACAACAACAACAACAGCAGCAGCAGCAGCAGCAACAACCAACAACCAACAACCAACAACCAACAACCAACAACCAACAACCAACAACCAACAACCAACAACCAACAACCAACAACAACAACAACAACAACCAACAACCAACAACCAACAACCAACAACCAACAACCAACAACCAACAACAAACAACAAACAACAAACAACAAACAACAAACAACAAACAACAAACAAACACAACAAACACAACAAACACAACAAACACAACATACACAACATACACAACAAACACAACAAACACAACAAACACAACAAACACGACAAACACAACAAACACAACAAACACAACAACAACCACAAACACAACTACAACCACAACCACAACCACAACAACAACAACAACAACAACAACAACAACAACAACAACAACAACAACAACAACAACAACAACAACAACAACAACAACAACAACAACAACAACATAAACATAAACATAAACATAAACATAAACATACAACATGTTATATTACTATCATTATTAGTGCTGCTAGTGTTGTTATTGTTATTGTTGCGTAAGCAATCAATGCTTACCAGCCAGTTAATCACCTGCGTCAAGATCTTCTGCAACACACCTCTTGGAAAGCTTTCATGACAAAAGAGTCACATGTGTTCAAAGGCTTCGTCAAAGTACCAGCGAAACATTCGGGCCACAGGTCATGCGCATGGCTTTCCTGGTGTGGATTCTCACGCTTGTCTAAAACGTTCGGTGAAACGTAACCGCTCTTGATAGCCTCAAGTAGCCAAAGCCTCGACCGCGGCATGCTGTAACTCTTCACCACCTTTGCAGCCAAAACACCTGGTCCATCTGCGAGCGGACCAGCCAGCTCTTCCCATCCAAGTTCCTGCCCAGTAGTATTTTGAGACCGCTAGTCAGGGAAGTCCTTGCAAAGAAACCGACGGGCCATGCTGTATTGTCTCGGCTCAGCAAAGCTCAATCCAGCACTGTAAGGTCATGGTGATGGCAACTTGCACACTCTCAAATGCAGGGACATGCGTGAAACCAAGTGCGAAACAGTTGCAACATGCGACGACCTTCCAACAATGTTGCTACTGGTTCACATAGCAACTGCACTAAGCTTCCCCTTCTTGGGCGACCCATGTGACAAAAAGGCCCAGATGTCTATGGTCTAGCAGATTTCGAAGGAGGCACATGTGGCTAATCATGAATGTTTCATTGACTTATACCCTCAACTCTCTTGGCGGACATCAATCCTCCTCCCCCCCAAAGAGTTTCAGATTAATTTCCATACCCAACCGGCAAATGGAATCTTTTTGCCGGGCCGATATGGTTCAAGCTTTGGCTCATTCTTGGGTGAGAGGCTCAGCATCTTGATGCAGATTGGCTAAAGTGGGCCTTTCCAAAAGATGTCACTGCACACTCTACCAATTTTGTGGTCACCACCTGTTCTAGAATTCTAGGGAGCGAAACCCCCCTCTCTCAAACAGGCTCATCAACCTTTGGGCAGTTCAGCTGCAAGTGGTCACTGGAATGGAAGGTCCAACTTTCACACCCAAAGCTCTTCCCTTCTGCCGATTCCCTCGCTCTCGGAATCTCCAGGACCCGATGCCGTACCACAGGCACGCAATGATGTGGTTGATGAGCAGCATCATCACCAGGCCCATGAGCACCTCGAAACCAGTGGGCGTTCTCAAAGTCGGGGACCCATAGACGCCATAGACCCCCCCGTCTGGCTGGTTTCAAGAAAAAAGAATCAGAGTTCAGGAGCCCTGATGCACCAAATATGGGTTCGCGGTTCTCGAAATAGGAATCCTTGGAATGGTTGTCTAGACTTTCCAAGGGGTTCCTGACCGTCAGAACTAGCCGAGCAAAGAGGTCTTTTCGCCGTTGCGCAAATGAGCCGATTGGTAATCTCCACTCCGGATCTAAGCTGGGACATCCGATCAAAATCCACTGGCTGATTCAATCTGGGTTCCCATTCCCCGCGCACCATCGGCCCAATGTGGATTGAAAAATCACCAGGTGGTCTGCTAGGCGAAGTGAAAAACAAGTGTTTCCTTCAATTGCTACTTTGAAGAACTTGAGAATGAAATGGATCGGAGCAGGGGAAAATGAGCATCGTCCACCGGATGTTGCGCGCCAGGCCTTTGGCCCTCAGGACTGGCCCAAAATCGCACTGGCCTACAGGTAAATGCTTGGAACCAAACTGACACCAGTGATATGTTGAAACAAACTGACCTCAACAGGACTCCCATGGAAAACCCATGTATTCACCCCCCCACCCCCCAACCCGGGCAACCCCCCCCCCATTTGGCAACCTCTCAAACTTTGGCTGTATCAAATCGCACAAGTTTTTGACACTGCACCGCACCAACAGACATAAAATGGGTCAGAACCAGCATCAGAACTTCACCCCTGTCTCAGTTTGACCACCGTCCTGGTTTCCCATTCATCAAACTCAGGGCTAATAGCTCTTGTCGAGCAGTCACCAATCACCAGCATCCAACTTGCTCAAAGCACGCTGTAGGCTATGCCAGAAGTTCATCCGAGTTGTGCAGCCATTTGTTCGACGCCCAACTTGTTTGCCACGAAGGTAAAATGATAGGTCAGCCCTGGACCCTGTGGCTCTGCCAAAAGCGTGACCGGCACACATCTCATGCCCGCCTTGGCGACCATGAAGAAGTGTGCGGAGAAGAGCCGGTTCGCCAGTAGGGTCAGCTCCTCCGAACCGAACTGCGGCACCCAGGGAAAAATCGGGCTTGTCCCCGCACGTCCCGCCATTCGCCACCCATCCTGCTGCAACTTCACTGCGCGCAAGAGGCGCAGGAGCCGCAGCAAGCGCATCTGCGAGCGGAAATAGAGACAATCGGGTGGGGCGAAGAATTTTGCCCAACTCTTGTCAGGTTTTGAACCAAACCAACGATGGCCCCCCCTTTAAAGGAAAGCAAATTTGGAAGCTGCGTAAAAACACCTATTTCAAGAGAAGCCCAAAAGGAGGCTTATATAAACAGTCGTGGCTGGTTATTCAAACATCAAACCCCTCCCTCCGAGCCCGGCCGTGCGCAGGAAGCGCGCAGAGCGGAAGCCTGCGCTTTGAGGATCGTCCTGGAGCTCGCGACTCGGATCAACCCCGTCGCTGGGGGTTTGGATCGCCGTCCTCCGCTGCAGGTTTAGCCAAGCTTCAGGGCTTGGGTTGGCCCAAGATCGTCGAAGGGGCCGAAGCCGGCTTCCTATCTCTCTTGACAGTGTTGACATGTTCTCGCGCCCTTTCAGGTTCACCAACTGACCAGACATCACCATGCGCATTAACACGAAAAAACACAGCTGAGCAGCCAGAAAATACATTTCCTCTGGAGGTATCCCCTTAAATCAGCTTTTGGGAGAACGAAGCTCACAGAGATGTCCGTGTTCTAGGCCATTTGCCACGATACCCTAACATATTGGAATGCAGACGCTCAGGGGCGCTCGCAAAAACCGCCTACTGACGACTGCCTTTCTTCTTAGATGCTGACATATCCCTTTTGCAGCTGGGAAGTGCCGATTTTTCTCCAGACACGTGTCGATCCACCAAGAGAAAGCTTGCCTAAAATCAGCGCAGAAGGTAAGGGAAATATAGGGAGTCCTGCATGACCCCACGTGCATGGCACATGGCAGGCGAGAAAGTGGTCATGGAGCATCAAACACATCATCGCTTCAACACCTCAAGCCTCAAGAAACCGTCATAATCCCTCCGGTGCATAATTCCTTTGTACATCGTGAGTGAAAAGGGATTTCTCTGATTGAAGTGGCGCCCTGCGTCACTTGCTCTGCTCAGCTGCCCTGAAGACTTCCAACAAACTGCACGTCTGTTTCCTTTGTTTTCTTCGGTCCGAAGGCAGCTGTCCGATTCTGACCATATGTAGGGCACGAATGCCCATGAAAGTTGTGAGCCGTGACCGGGCATGGTAAAAGAGGAGGAGCTTTCTTTCCGCTTCTGCTATAGAAGCTCCTCAGGCCGACTTTTTGCGCAAATTGCCATGAAACCCAAAGAAGGGTCCCTTTCCCAAAATGAAGATTCATCCAAAATAATGTGTCAATCTGCCCAGGCAAATATCCATGTTGCTTCGTTGGGTCCTGCAACATCTCCACCATGAAGACCGCCAGGTCGATTGAAATCACCACCACATCCAGGCCAAACCAAGAGCCTCACAGCCAACCGACCACCGCCGGTGAAAATTGTTTGATTCTCTTTCGAGAGAGTCGGCAAGTGGCACAAATGAAGTCAAACCATATCAGATTGCCAGAACAAATTCAGTCTGAAGTGACCAAATGACTGAGCACCCCCACTTGAGCTTCTACCAATGCCACCTTGCAAGTGCCTTTCAGCGAAACAGCGAAGCGTCACTTGGTCATCTCCCTTAGGAACCCTCACGGGAATTTGCAAAGGGGTCAAAACCACACCGGGATGTCCAATGCCGATATAACGTCAGAACCTGTCGCAACCCGGCTCACTGGCAACCAGGTACCAACAAAACTCAGCAGCCTCCTTAACCACTCTTTGTTGCAGACTCAAAGCCATGCTGGTGTTTGGGGCCCGGGCTCAGAATCACGGCCTCCGTGCTCAGAAATGGCAAATCCCCTCCCTCCCCTCCCCTCCCCTCCCCTCCCCTCCCGCCGTCCAGACCCTGACATCCTGAGCTATGCGGGGGGCTGAAGTACATCTTGCCCAGCTTGAGCATCCTGAGCTCCTGCCGCCCCATGACCTCCTGCCCGAAGAAGAAGTTGGAGAACATGTCCAAGATCCAAAAGCCGAAAGAGATCCTCACCAAAAACAAAAATCGACTTCGGGCACTTGCATGTCAGGCAAATGATGAAAACTAGAATCAAGTCAAGTGCTAAACAAGAAGCAAACCAGTCTTCCTGGCTGGACAATAGGCTCAACTGTGCTTTGTAGCTTTTCTAAAACACGGGATATATTTTTGAGAAGGGAAACCCAGTGGGGGTTCGAATCCCAGTTGAAGACAACTTCGTTCCGATGCACATTCCTCTGCTTCTCCTTGCCATGCCCCAGGCCGGCGCTTTTCGGCCCTTCTCCGCATTTCCCGTTGATCCACCCTCACCCGAAATCAGGTTCCCGCTGGTTGGCGGACTGGCTGCCTTCCTCTTTGGTTTCAAGGACAAACGGGGGACAAACGGGGGACAAACGGGGGCCAAACCATAGCGGTTCCCCAGCCTCACTATACATTTAGGTGTAGATTATTATCCTTTTGCCAAGCATTTGAAACTCGATCTGTTCGATGCATGCCCCCCACCAAATGCATCCCCTTGACTTGCCAAACTCGGCCTGAAATTAACTCCGGGTTCGAGGGGTGAGCAAATGTGCTGTCCCCTGATTAGTGGGGAGAAGCCTGTGTTTCCTCCAAATCAAAACGGATTCCATCCAAGGGCAATGATTCAGGCATCCCCCAAACGCCCTTCGTTCTGTGTCTCCTCCAAAGTTGTGCAAAAATGGATTCTTTCTCTTCTGATCCGAGCCCGCACATCGATCGCTCCTGCTCATGAGCGTCAAGAAGTCCATGGTGCTGTCACCCAAGTTGAACAGCTCCAGCGGCACCATCACCATGTCCTCACGCGCAGACCCAAACTTGATTTGACCCTGCGAAAGAGAGAAAGGTAACAGTTCATGCTCGATGGGAAAACCAAACGGAAATCTGAAGAGCTTCCACCATCTGGTGCCCGAAAGGGAAACATGAAGGAAAACGTAGCAATGCCCGCCTCAGCAACCCCTTACAAATGAACGAAACCATCACGCCCACATTCCCTGCCCTCTTTGCTGGTTCATTGCTGTGTGCCTGCATGCACTCTAGGAAAGTTGTTGTAGTTCGCAATCCAAACCTAAGGAGCTTTCGAGCAGGGGACCTTGATCATGGCGCTTGTTTGATTTGCCCAACTGCATGGAAGAAGCTCCCACTGATCAACTTGGCGACTCCACTCAGCGCAGGAGTGCCTACCTGTGTCCCAAACCGAAGGTGCAGTATTGAGGGACCCCTCATAATTCCGGAACCAGCATTCGGCTGTTCCAGATCCACTACGGCTATGCACCCCAGCATCTATACTAGTCGCCTTAACCATCTCGCATCTGTAAAGTAAAGATCTCTAAAGTGTGCTCGTAGCAGGTCATACAAACAGGGTGTCCACCGAATTCGGTCCGGTCGCACTCGATTTCAGCTTGGCCAGTCCTGCCCATTTTTGGGCAGCCTTGTACTTGTTGCAAGTCCCCTTTACACATTACTGTATGCCGCCAAAAAAAGGAACCTAAAAGGTGATGCTTCATCATCCAAACGAAGAAATACGAGAAGCCCTTCTCTTCGCAAAATCTGGGGTTGCCTTCTTTGGGGCTAGAGGTTTATAGTCTCAACTGCCAACTGCTATCAGTGACTCGACATGTACACGCAACTCAAACTGAACTGAATCTTACTACTAGTTCTACGCCGGGTATGTATGTCGTAAAAGTACACATGGATGATGGCATGGTTATAAAAATACATAATGATTAAATAGTTTGGTTTTTTACAAATCGAGCGAGACATTCAATGCTCTCAAGGAAAATATTCCTGTTCAAATCACAAGAAGCTTGGAACGACATTGAAATCAAGAGAACTTTTTTGTTTCACAGGTGTGACATCTAGTTGGGCACTCTTTGGTGGACATCATCCACATGGGAGCTGTCCACGAGCCATACTCCATATGTGGGCCACGCGGTCCTCGCGCCTTACAAGCTCACCCTTTTTCAAGAGACATTCCGGACCCCCGGCCTTGGCCGTGTGCACCACTGCTATTTGAAGCCCAAAGAGGCGCTCAAGTCAGCAGGCAATTGGGCTCAAGTCATCCCAGCCCTCCAGCTCCGCCCTTCACAGCCCAACCGCGGCCCATCCAGTTCAAGCTCCGGGCTCAGGGAGCTAAGGCAACAAACTCAAGGCTCGGGCCTCAGCCCCAGCCCGTCACACTCATTCCAGCTCATTCCAGCCACCTCGTTGGCCGGCTCTCGCAGCTGGATGCAATCACTTTGTGCAGCCCCAGCATCATTTGCTCAAGCCCGCATTGCTCTTGTGGTTCTTTTGAGCCAACTGTGGTCGGTTTCCTGTTGGCTTCCCTTGAGAACCAATCAAAACAACACCCCCCCCCCCCTCCCCTTAAAAATAAAAAAGAGACACGCCCACGTCCATGTTTCTCCCCCGCTGTGTTTCTTTCCGAGCTGCCCAGCCGATAAGCAGGGAGCCCAGCAGGGACCACACCATCTGCAGCCGGCTCCTGGGCTCCAGAACCAAACGGCCCAGGAAGGTCTCGTCGCGGAAGCTCGCGCTCCTGTCGCATGGGGAAAACCCCCCACTCTATGTCGGCTTGGGACAGAGTTGGAGCAACATGGGCTCGGGTTTCAGGTTGGCTGGTTTACGGGTCTGGGTTTACGGTTCGTTAAGGTTGGCTTGGCCCTCTGGATTGGTTTCTTGGGACGCTGCAGGGTGGGTTCAACTACTTCCAAGAAGACGCGGGAAATCGGATTCTCCTTTGGGACAAACCCACTGGCATCCTCCAAACCGCTCCTAGTGCAGAATCGAAGTGGACCTGGAATCCCTGCAAACCACTACACAATAATTTTGAGGGCAATGCGTCTCCACACAAAAAAGTTAAACCCAAAACCGCCCACATGGGCCCCATGTCAATCCCAACGGTTTTGAACACTCCCAGCCCCGATTTTCAGGGCTCGCCATATTTCCACCTTACATCACCCCAAGAAAATCGCCTAAGATTGCAACCCACAAGGCGATTTCAAGGCGATGGTCGAACCATCCAAAGATAGGAAGGACTGTCATATGGCGACTGCAGGATCCAAAATTTACTAGTGGAAAGCACACTCATATGAAGGGATGTCTTTTTGAGGGTACACCTATGTGTGTGTGTGTGGTTTGATTTTGGGAGCCAAAAGGAAAACCCACCTTCTTGGGGTCGCCTAAAAAACGACACTCGCATATGTGTGTCCAGTTTTTGGCACTCATCATGCTTGTCAATTGTCTCAAAGCCCCCAGAAAACAAGTACCCTACATTGAGGTTTTTGTAGATGCTATTGTTGTTCTTGCAATCCCACCCCGCACCCCCCCAACCCCCCGACCCCAAGCAGAAAATGTTGATTCCGTGCAGCAAGCCCACCACCCAGCTTTTCTAGAATTTGCTGGCCATGCGTCGGCTGGCCCATGCGAGTCTTGCGATCCGGGTAGCGCTTGGTGACGCGGAAGCTCTTGCTGCGGTTCATCGTTGACACCTCCTGGCGATGCTTTCGCGTTTGGCGATGGGATGGATGGACTTGTGGGGAGAACAAAAACGCACCGCGGAAAAGGAACCTGGGAAGTTTCAAATCACACAAAAGGGAAATGCAAAAGAAGCATAGATTCAAGCTGTAGTGGAATCCCGGCCAAACGGACAGTTCAAAGGACATGGATGATGCGTGCAAGGGACGTTGCATGGAAACCCTGGTGCTGCTGCAACTGAGAGGCAGCGGAGAAAACACCCAAGCCATGCCGCTGCAGTTCAATGAGCAACGAGCCTGGATGTCTGGCATGTGCTTGTTGCTAGCTCCCCTGCACTGCGGTTTCAGCCAAATTCCACAGAGGAAGCTTTGGCTGTCAAGTGGCCAGAGACAACAACAAAAAATGCAACCCGACAGTACGGCGTCCAACAAAAAACCCACCAAGCGACACCTCCCCTTCCCAGCCAAAGGCGAAGGCCTGCCAAGACCGCGTCCAGGCGCCCCGGAGCTGCAGATCGCCAGCTCCCCACTCCTCCGCTGGAACTCGCCCGAGAAGCAGGTCTGTATTGGATTGAGCGAGACTCCAAAACACTAGGAAGAATCAATTGCTCTTGTTGTGCAGAATATCATTCAAGTTGGCAAAGAGGTGATGTCTCAATCCCAGACAAAGCAGGGGAAAAAAACTTTCCTGAGATTTGGGGCAGGCTGATGCCTGAGGACTTTGAAAAAAAACAATGGTCATGCAGTCGATGCCTGGATGGCTGAAACAAACTCTCCACAGATGTGGCCGCACAATCGAAGCGAAATACATGAGATACTAGGGGCCTGGCATTCTGAGTAACATCATCATAAAACATGAATATCATTAGTCATCACTTGTTACGTGTTTCTCTTTAAGCGCAAGTAGCATTGAACCAACCAATCTAGGGGGAGAGCTTTAATACATTCTCAAAAATATACAATGCTGGGTGCAAGCTCAATCGTTCACCAAAGCAACACAAAAGAAATGTCAAACCCATACCACAAGTCCATGTCACAGGCTGTTACAGGAGTATACATGCATGCTGTTAGACGTGCTGGAGAATGAGGGCTGCTGCAAAAAAGGACCAAACGGAAACTGGCCCCCCCTTTTTTGGCCGTGGGGGAGTATTTGTTGCATTATTCGTTGCGTGCAGCTGCAACTTGACTCAGCTGCTGTTCAACCCTGGAAAAAAAAAAAACAAAAAAACACCTGAACAGGAGAGGGGGACTGTTGATGGGTGTCGGTTCAGCATGCTGTGCGGGTCTCGAGAGAGAGGCAAACTGTGCCAATGTGTCGTAAGTGTGTTCTGATCCTCAGACGGAAGGCGGGGTTGCGTTTGTTCTTGGCACCCTTGAGATGCCTTGAGTCCGAATTGATGTCAGTGCAGCAGCAGCAGCAGCAGCAGCAGCAGCAGCAGCAGCAGCTTTAAGCTTCAAGGTCCAAACCCTGTGATGCACCTGTTTCCGCTTATAGCATGCTGGTATCAGGCAAACCGCCAGGCTGGCCATTGCATGATGCACCGCAAACACATGATTACAAAGAATGGGTTTTCCGCTTGCAACGTCCCGGCAAGAGGCAAGAGACGCCAAAGAAAGATCACCAGCCCAGCAATGGCAAACCGGGAGCAATAAAACCCCCGGTTGATTGATAGCAAGGTGTGCTATCGAGGAAGTCCTTCACTTCTGGAGGGAACACCACCATATGGATTCGCAAGCGGTTTATCAATGCTGGGACCCCAACAAGTTCCTCAGCCCCAAGCACCCTCGCTCCTCGGTCGCCTCTGAACTCTCCACGCTGTCCTGACATGGCGACCCACATGTTCCAAAAAGGGGAAGGCGATCCCACAAAACATCTGGTCCAAGTAGCTAAAACCAACGGGTCAAAGAAATCGTTCTACCCCCCACATGTGTGCTTGGCTCTCCGAATTTTGGCCTCGGCCCAGCAAAGAATGCTTCCCTCGGAGAGCTTTCCCACGGGTTTGGGTGGCACCAAGCGAAAGCAAAGAACGCAAATCTGTTGTAAATCTGTTGCCACAGATCATGACTGATGCATTTTGGGGCTTTGAGTGTGGTGATGTGCTCTTTTGAATTGCAACCTGCCTCACGGGCAGGCCTGGTCGGCCAAAGGGTTAAGCTCTCTGGGGCAATTGCACGGGTACTTCATTCAGCCAGCCAAATCAAGCGAGAAGCGTGACGCGTCTCTTGCGTGCCCTAGCATTGGACCGGCACTTCAGAGCCGTACCGTGGCCCTTGAAGGATCTGAGTTGCCCTGTCACTAATCACTCGTCATCGAGGTTGGGCTCCTTGCTATGGCTCCAATAAGGATGCGTACGTCTCTCGCGTGGAAAGAAAGGCTTTCTGGCAAAACAGAGCCTTCCCAAAGCGATTTGCTTGTATGGGAACAGTGTAAGCTCTGAATCTAGGCAGCATAGGTATAAAAAGCCGGCAAACAGAAAAACTCACGCAGGTCGGTTGCCGATGGGAAAAAGCAGAGCCAGAACCAGCACCTAATGCAAGCCAGGTACTCTCAATATGCATGGCTCTAGGGTTGCTTTGGCGGAAACGTGTGTCGCTTTGAGCTTGTACCCATTTGTGAGGCTTCCTGTGGGTGTAACTCTTGACTGCGGACCTCTTGGTGGACATCATTCACGGAGGGATTGTGTGTGTGTGTGAGATAAGTTATGTCCACCAACCAGCTTTGAAGACACAACATTCACCAAAGCAGGCGACCTCTGTCTTCCGAATGGCCTGCTCCAGAAGTTTGATGCTCAAATCCAGCCACCGATCTGATACCTCGGAGCATGTCTGTGAACCAACGAACTGTTTTGGATGCCGGTCAAGATGAGGAGGCACTCCTCAAATGCCATGTTGTGTTTTGGCTTCCTACGGATAGGCTTCCTCTGGATGGGTATTGTTTGGATGGTCCTTTCAAGGCCATCGAAGGGCCTAGTGGGAATTTTATCATAATTCCATATGTTCCAAAGGCAAATGTCCTTCAACGGGTCCATGGGAGCCTTTGTGTTATCAAGCCTTCCTACACATGGCACAGCCCATGTTGCGCTGTTGGAGATCCACCAAACCAGGCCACCAGCTGTGACTTCCAGCCCGCACTGAGAAGAAAAACTGTTCCGGCATCCGCATTCAGGTACTATATGTAAAGGAGTTAGTAATCCACATGCGTCCTAATGCATTATCTGGCATCCGGAGAGGACGCTGAACCAAACGAAATGAGCCCCGGTTGAGCCCAAAGCCACACTGAGCGCCCCACGTCCAAGTCCGGCAGGCGGGGACTGTCGAAAGTGTACGCCAGAACCTCGTTGGACCTCCGTGGAAGATCGGCTGATGGCTCTCCAAGGCCACGCAGGGACTGGGGTGCAGTGGGGTGGAAGCAGATCCAGCAGGCTGGCGTGTGGGCAAAAGCACTGATCACTTGCCCCTGAAAGCCTCTCGCGAAGGGCACATAAAGTGCTGGTTTGTTGCGGAAATAGATTTCTGTGCAGCTTGTGCAGCTTGCAGCTATGGTCAAGGCCTTGGTTCATGGCGTTCCCTCGCGACCCTAAGCAGTTAAGCCTGCCGTGATCCCGGTTTCAGGAGCCATTTTCTGTTGCCATATTGCAACAGTCTCTGGAAAGCCCACGCAGTTCCTCAAGCGCCTTTGGAGCTCCATTTATGTTGGAGTTCCATGTGAGCTTTCATTCAAGGCTATGCTGAGGGGTGCGCTATGAAGCACAAACCTTGCAAAACATGCCCAGCTTTCCTTTCCAATCCTCCAGCCCGTACACATTGCAATCAGTGGGTCCGGAAGGTCGCAGGTACATTCTGCCACTTCATTGCGCATCCCACTGCAGTCCCGCGTCAAGGGCGGAAGAGAAGAACAGTACAAACAACAAAGAACAGTAAAAGCGACAAAGCACACACACATAAAATAATATGTTTAAAAACAAAAAAGACTGCTCCGAATCCCAAAAGGTGGGCGAGGCATAAGCACGCGGCAGCAAAAGCCGCTCCGTGCCCAAAACTGCCACCTTCCAGCCAAGCAGCTCCTCCCGCTCAGCTGCGCAGAAGCCTGCGCCTGGTCTAGGTGGTCTCCCTAGAAGACAAAGAAAGGTACGCTCAAAGAGAAACACGGTGAACCCCCCCCCCCCGCCCAAAAAAAAAAACGGACGCCCCAACCACAACCACGGAGGACCAAAGGACTGCCCCAGGCGCGGTGCAGTCCAATGAGCGCGCCTCGATGCGCGTTCGGCCTCTGCGGCGATGGCGCGTGGGCCGCCCGTAGCACTGTCTCAAGGCGCTGTAGCTCCTCACGTGGAGCATCAGGGGACCAGTTCTTGAGGGTTCTTCGATAGCAAAGTAGGAGGTTCATAGGGCTGGTGAGTTGATTAGTCAGAGGGGGTGTTGTGTTATTCGCAGGGGTTGCCTTGCAGGGGGTTGGCCCGACAAGTGATTTTGGATCCTCGCTAAAATGGAAGGACAGCCTTATTGGTCAGAATCACGAGGAAGCCGCAATGTGAGTTGTTCGAGCCTCCAGGGACTCAGGCCAACAGTGGCCTTTAAGGGACGCCCGGAAAATGTCCATGTCGACCCTGAATTCAAGCAACACCTGGTGGATATGGGTTTTCATCGGGGAACCCCCAACAAAACAGATTGGTGGACAATACAAAATAATGGATATCTGCAAAAGGGTCTCCATTTACGTACCCAAAAGGTGGCTGCAAACAAAAAGCCTCTGTACAGTTTCAAAGGCGACATCCCGGTGAAGAATGGGCATGCTTACGAAGATGTCAAAGTGGCACATCTTTTGTAAAAGGGTTGTCACACTTCATGGTTGGACAATGAGCTGAAAGCTGAAAGGATCCCACTTAGCAAAGAGGTACCCATTTGACCTAAATGCAAATGGACTGGAGGGTCACTGTCCTCTAAGCAAAGCTTAGGTCTGACCCAGGTTATTCCAAAACCCCGCATGAGAGATCCAAGGTGGGGCCGGCCTTGTGGGTCCTCTATGTTTGGATACATCCATATTTCCCCATATCCCACTCAGTAATTCTGTATTTGAGTCGTCTTTTTGGTTGCGAACGGGGAAGATTAAACTCGCCTGCCAAACACTGGTACAAGGGAAGAGATTGGGTCGTCAACCACCGTCCCCTCGGTCCCTGCTGAGGATTTGCTCGAAGGATTTCGTACATGGTGTGGGCATGGCGAATGGAGGTCTTATCGCAAAGGCCGGAATGCTCAACCTTTGTTCTGCAGTGCCATATTCTGCCTCTATGTGTTCCAGGGACAACATCAATCACTTAATGGACCACGGCCGGCCAATGAAAAATAGCCTCTTCCAGCGGCAATTCGGAAGCATGTTGGTTGGCACAGCTTTCCGGCCGAGAAGCAACAATATCTTGATCATCTCAACTTAGATGCGGCAACAAAGCCTGCAGCCGATACAGCAGCGAAAACATCACCAGCAACCAACCGTCAAAAATTAACCATGTCTTTGAATGAACGCGGTGCTAGGACATAGTTGCGTTTTCGTGCGTTGCCACAATACAATTGATGAAACATGTTATCCATGTGATCGGCATAATCTTCAAGATTTCGTAACACTTGCAACTGTCTAAACAAGCTTCGAAGGGCGATCATACACGTTCCGCTCACATTAACGGCGAACAAATGACAACCCAAATCATTTGCTCAACGTTTTCAGCCTGCAACATGCAACTATACAAGCGCTGTTTGGTTTCGAACGCTTGACCAAAACGTATTGACGGCAACAGGTTTAAAGCAATTAAGGCATTTGTCAGAGAAATGCTGGGAAAATGATTGCCAGGAGGGCCAGTTGTGTCCAGTTGCTCTAGTACGTAAGACTTTAGTATTCCATTCCAAAACTTTATCCATGGCCTTCTTCGGGATAACTACAGAATTGCAAATGGAAATGCGAGTCGTCAAGCGATGCCAACTCTTCGGTCACGCCAAATTTAGCAAGGCTCCCATTGAAGAAACTAAGACGTTGAAAGAAACAACCCGAAATGAGTGCAAAGTCAATCTGAGGAAATGTGCGGCGATACATAATTTGAGCCAGATGGACGCAACATCCGTTAAACGTCCCCAATTACATATTGAATTAATTTCAAAAGGATACGACGTGTCAAACAAGCCCAACTCAAACAGATGCCCCACTTCTAGTATTGTAAGAGCGGCACCTGCCAAAGCGTGCGGTTTTCTTTCAACTAACATAGCAATTTGCCCCCCGCCCTCACAACTTCAGATGGAGCGCAACCGCGTCTGGGTGTCTCACGTCGCATCTGCGTCTATGTTAGGCAAACCTGTGCTATTGTCTCCACATGCAGAGTCTTGGCCGATCTTGCCGCAGGAAGTCTTACGAGAGCTGTTGCGCGAAAAGCTCAAAGAGGTGCGTCAACCTGAAGGTGCACAAAATACCCCTAGAATCCTGCCCTACCTCGAAGCCCGTTGCATGTTCTGGGTGCACATTACGTCCGAAAGTGTCCATTGGCGATTTTGCCAAATTAGACCCTTGATTCCTGCAGACGGAGCCAAACAGGAGTTTTGTAAAAAACAAACCTGGTTTAAACCAAGAGGTTAAGTCACCCAACCCTTGGTCCGAACTGCTGTTCAAACATCAATTCAGGTGCGTTTCGCGGTCGCAAGGACTTCTGGTTTGATTGAATCCTGTTCACTGCTTTAAGCCAAAAGGGAGAACATGTATTTCAAAAGGGGCAACGACACCTCTCGGTCAACACGCGTACTGCAAACTTGCCCGGGTGCGAAACAAAGGAGAGGTATGCAGTTGCGGCACATGCAACGCGTGCATTGTTGCCTATGAGTAATGGCAGCTGAGGGCACGCCGCAGTAAGTGGCCTGTCCGATATGCATGTGGCCATCTTCTGGAATCCTGAAGCGAATCCTGCATGACTTGCGGATGTGATTGCAGCATGCCTGGGCGGGTCACCGAGGGTTAACCTAAGTGACGCGACAGGGGGGTGGGTGGGGCTTTTAAAAAGGAATCAAACCCTTGAGAACATGTCCCCCGAAGGCTTGAAGATTAAAAGACGAGGGAACCAAAAATCCCAAGTTGTTTTTCCCTGTGTCGCCTTAAGCATAATCACCGGTCGACTAAACAGAGAGTCCTCGTGCAGCATAGTAGCTTCAAGCAGCAACAAGCAAAACGAAACCCAAAATTACACCTGCATCAGGCAGATGCAAGAAAAGGGGGGCCAGGTACAAACCACAGTCTAAGACTTCGTGTTCCCACATACCAGAAAGCAAAATTATGCATGTCCTCACACGAGAAAACACGGGAGCTGCCGGCGGAGGCCGTGCACCGCACGAAGCGCCCCGAGGATCGCAACGCCACGGCCGTGGTGGACGGGGCATCCAGACGCTGAAGAAGGACCTGGCTACAAGGGTGGCCCGCAGAGGCGGCCGGTGGAGCGACCACTTCAAGAAAGCCAGCCGTGGGAGCGACAAATAACTTCTCGCCAGGCCTCAAGCCTTTCTGGCCAGCAGCTTTGCGTGGACTATTGAAAACCGAGACGAATGCGCCAGGTTGCAGTTTGCTGGCCCTATTTCCTCATCGTGGCCCTTGTCGCTGCTATGGCTCGTGATGACGATTAAAGCAGGAGAAAGGGTTTTCTGTGACACACAGCATGCGGTTGCAACTACCGCTGACAGTGGGGGAATACACACGGCAGGAGCACACGGCAGGAGCACTGGATCTCAAGTCTACACAGACGAAAAACACCTCAAAAAATATCGCGTCCAGCAACCGCCACACACACACACACACATCGTTTTTTGCAACGCGGAGCCCTGTCTGTGCCTTTGCTTGCAGCTTCAGGTTTCACCCAAAGTCCGCAAGCTTGTTTTGCAAAGGCCTGCCAAGCTTCTCGAAGAACAGTCGAAGGGGCCCGGCCCGCTCCAAGAGGAGCTCCGCGAGGCCTGCCTTGCTGAAATAGACGTTGGGATTGTCAAGGGACCGGCCCTCCTTTTTGATCTCAGTGGTGTAGAAAATGGGTAAGGCTTGGAGCACCCTTGGATCGGCTCGGAGGCCAGCCAATGCTTTTTGTGCCTTGTCTTCCACCGAGGGCCACTTGCCCACGAACTCCTGTACATACTTGGTTTGCACGCCAAGAATCAATAGATGGGCGTTTGGGTCCTTGTCCCCAGGCCCTGTCGGCTGCAAGCTTCTTCGAAGCAGCTGTCGGTGATCTTTGCGTGGAACTGTCCATGGCACCAAATACTCAATCCCTTTCTCAGTGCGCTTCTGGGACACCACGATGCTGCCGTACTCTAAGGAGCTCATCACCTCGTCAACGTCGTCAAAGGAATCGAGCTCCACCACCGAGTCGCCAGAGTACTGCAACCCCGGCATGACACGCACTGCTCGCAGGCTCTCTGGCTTCAAGTTCGCCCCTGGGAAGAGCTGCTCCAGCGTGCAGCTTTCCTTCTCCAGTGCCAAACGCACCGCAGCATCGAAGTGAAGCATGACGGCCTCGAACTTCTTCTCATGCGTGGTCTCCAGGACAGAATCCTCTTCAAACATCTTCTTGATCTGGTTTGCCAAGGGCTCACGGTGGCGGTCAGCCCAGCTTTGCAAAACGAGCGGGTGCAACACTGATTTGCGTTTGTCGCCAAACCGCGCGGCATGGACTAAGCCTCGGGAGGCGAGGTCGTCATGCATTCCAGGCGGAAGAGTCGCGCTGGGTGAGAACCAGAGTCTCACCTCGTCACTTTTCAAGGCTTCAGGATGATCAAGCTTCGCAATGCTTATCATTGTCTTGCGAAATTGGACCAAGGCAGAGGTGGTTTCGGGCAGTCCACATGTAGAGAAGGCGTCCTGTAAAGCGTCAAACATCAAGCGAGGATGTCCGAGTATCTGTCGCAACAGCTGTTTTCTGCCCGCCGTAGCCTCAAAGGCTCTGCGAATTTTCTGAGGCACCAAGTTCAAGGCCTCCGGAGGCAAACCAGTCAAGGAGATCAGCCTAACTTTGCGGCCGGAATCGCTTGATCGCTTCTTGAAGTAGCTTTCGACGAGCGCCGTCCAGATAAAAACTACTGGACGATGTCCCGAAAGGAGGGATTCATCTTGCGCTTGCATGATTGTAGAGAGGAAAAGGCTGGTTGAATTGGAACCGTACTTCTTCTCCAGCTCGATGAGCTCATCCACACCCACCAACAGAAGCGCGTCGTCTGCCAGTCCCAGCTTGCGCCGCAAAGCCCACATCACCTTCTCCCATGGAAGAGCTTCTGAACACCATGCAGCGTCATCCGGCCGCATGCCGGCGTACCGAAGTAGGACTTGTGAGAAGGCTTGTGTTGGGTCTTTGCGCCCATGCCATGTGCTCCCATTGAAATCCACTCGCAGCGCCGCCCTTGCCGCAGTTTCGCTGAGCCAAGTAGTGCACATCTCGTGCAGGAGGCGGGTCTTGCCTATGCCCTTGACTCCAGCGGTCACCATCACGCTGGACTTTCCCAGGGGCGGCGCAATCTCCCAGAAGGTTGAATTGGTAACGTTTCTGACGCCACAAATATAGCCTAGGAGTTCTCGCTTGGCCTCCTCGCGCCCTATCAACGTAGGCTTCATCGCCGCTGGCTGACACACCGTCCAGCTCGTTGATAAGATGGCCTGGGCTAGGGTTTTGGGGCTGACAATGCTGCATTTTAGATGGTTGCTACTTGGCTATTCTACAAACCCACCCCCCCGTCCTCGATGGCAGCCTGCTGCCCATCTGCCTGGGAAAGAGGCATCAAATTGGAGCCTTTGTTTAGGGTCAACTCAACTGCTCGAAGATGTGACAATACTCAAAGTCATAGGGGAACAACATGGAATTTAAGGGCCAGCAGTCCCTGCCTGCAATTGTCAAACAGGCAGCCAGAAACTTCTTTCTGTCACAGAACAGTTCTCTCATGCTTGGGGGAAAGGTGTTGTTGCAAGCGTCTTGCACCCTGCAAATGGGGGCCAAGATCACACCGACTGCAACAACCGCTGGCTCAAACACTTGCGCGGTTCCTTCCCCGCTGTTTCTTTTTTTTGCGAGACGCTGACACTTCATAACAGATCAAAAAGAAGCATTGGGCACTTAATGCAAAAGCCGAGCACTAGGAAAGCAAGGAATACAAGTGATACCAAAACCGAAACAAAACCAACAAACATCCAGCAGGAACATTGCCCATGGACGCAACCATTCGTGGGGCTCCACAGTGAGTCGCATCACGTG